TGCAAAATGTAAATTTCCAAAACTAATAAACGAAGTAATATTATTTTATTGACCATGTTTCTCTTCTAATTTTGAGGTAAATGGACACAGGAAGCAGTTAAATAAATGTTCAAAAAATAAATTAATTAAAGCCTCTGAAATATTAAAATTATGCCTGACTTTTACTGAAGCTGGAATTAAAGAGCAACAGTTTATAGATTCTCCTTCCACTTGTTTCTTCACTTTGTAATAACTCTGTGTGGATTTTGCTCCAGATGGAAACTTTTTGCCATTTTCAGGCTCAGATTTTCAAAACTACTTTATGTCATAAATATACAATTTTTGCTTTGATTCTTTTATGTTTAAAATATTCTGTTATCTATATGGTAACAGGTCAGCTGCTCAAAGCCTGGGTGGACCTACAAGGCGCAGCTCCTCCCCCACTAGGCTCCTTCAGACTAGCCAGCAGCAATTAGCAAACATCTGCTGAACTCATTATAGGAGCTACTGCTCAGAACAACGCTGGTAAAAATATTAAAGGGTTAATAGAGGACCCAAGTTGAGATGTCTTGTTGGAGGCTGACCTTCAGAAAGAGCAGGAGCTTCTTAAAGCGACAGAGGCCCAATTTCAAGACGTTAAATCAGGAAGTAAGATTTATTTGATGTTTTTATAAGAACTGAGGGAAACATAGTTATAAAATGGAACTATGTGGCTGAGAAGCACGATACCGTCCCTTTAACATTTAGCTTATTATTTTTATGCTGAGAAAAATTTCATGACAATATTATTGTACTGTTTGTTTATTTTTTTGCATTTTGCCTTAAGAGAAAAAGCTCATTTTGGTCCTCAGTAATAAAAATGTTCCCTCTGGTCTGGAGGTTCTGGATGCTCCTGTGACCCGGCTCCTGGAGGACCTGGTCAGGTTCTGGTGACCCGGTCCCTGATGTGTCTCTCTCCGTGTCTCCTGCAGGTCCTCTATAAGGTCTACATCTCCTTCGTGGAGGTCGGCCCGCAGAACGTCCAGACGGCCGACTACTTCAAGGGAGTGGGTGAGTCTTCAGGTGGAAATCTTGACAGCCTCTGCTGACCTCTGACCTCTGCTGACCTCCACAGCCTCCTTCCTCATTGTCAGCGTCGGGGGACTCTGGTGGGTCTGGTCTTTGCCGTCATCCTCGGCTTCATCACCCGCTTCACCAAGAAGGTCCGCATCATTGAGCCGCTCTTCGTCTTCCTGCTGGTGTACCTGGCCTACCTGACCGCCGAGCTCTTCTCGCTGTCTGCCATCTTGTCGTGAGTCCCGCCTCTCAATCCCACCCACCTCAGCCCCCGCTGTGTCACCGCCACGTCTTCCTCCGCAGGATGACCTTTTGTGGCATTGGGGCCAATAAGTACGTAGAGGCGAACATCTCGCAGAAGTCCCGGACCACAGTGAAGTACACGATGAAGACGCTGGCCAGCATCGCCGAGACCATCATCTTCATCTTCCTGGGCATCTCTGCGGTGGACAAGTCCAAGTGGGCCTGGGACACGGGCCTGGTGTCCTGCACCTTGGTCTTCATCCTGCTCTTCAGGGCTGTGGGTCAGTACCTCTGGTTCTGGTTATAACTCTGACATTATTCACATTAACCATCCACAGAAGGCGCAGATCAGCGCCATCTACTGGCCAACATGGGTACAGCAGCCATTAAAGGGCCGGTATCATGTGATTTCCAGGCATATAGTTCCATTTTATAACATAATCAGTTACTGTTTCACCTTTAGCTGTTACAAAAACACTGTACATAAAATATGACTTAAAAGAAGTTTAGCTTCCTGATTTAGCAGCTTGAAATTGGGCCTCTGTTTTTTAAAGAAACTCCTGCTCTTCCTGAAGCTCCGCCTCCGCATCCCAACATGGCTGCTGTAACCCTCTAACGTTTTACCAGCATTGCTCTGAGCAGCAGCTCCGACATTGAGCTCAAAAGCTGTTTGCTAATTGCTGCTGGCTAGTCTGAAGGAGCGAAGTGGGGAAGGTCCACCCAGACATTAGCAGCTGATGGTTGCCATGGAGATTGAAGGATTTCTCAAACACGACAGAATCAAAGCAACTCAGCAGGAAACCAGAAAGGTTTATTTTACAGAGAACTGGCCCTTTAAATTTAACAATTTAAACTTGATTTCAATTATTTATCTTTAATTGATGCTCAGAATTGATTATCTTTAATATTTTAAAAAGTGAGCCACATCTCACATTTAAATATTAATCCAGCTAAATTTATTGTACATGATCAAAAACAAACCACACTAAATCCTAAAGATTTATGAAAGTAAAAAAGCAAAACATAATAAACAGTAGAATCTCACTACATCTTTAGAGAGCAGAACTGAATCAAAGTTCATCTGAAGTTTTCGTCTCTCAGTTCTGAGGATTTTAATCCAAATAAATCTGGAGTAGGTTAAGGTTAAGGTTAGGAACCTTTTGTGTCTCACCAGAACAGCAGCAGGAAGAATTTAACTGACGGAGCCAGGAAAACAACCAGGAGCAGTAAATTATCATATTATAAGAATGTTTTTTATCTTAGTATGATAAAGAAGACGTTTCATTAAAACCACAATATGTTCTTGTTTAAACCAGCAAACGAGTCTGAGCAACATTCACTCAGCAGGCGAATCCCACACAAATCCAAGACTGAACAATTTAAATAATTTGCTCTGAGCCTCTTCCATAAAAACCAGATAAACGCAACAAAGTTGGGATTCAGACAGAGACGCATCCAGCAGGTTTGGTTCTGACGTCATCGGAGAAAAGAGTCTTATTGGTTTTGCCTGTTTGTCTCTGGGAGCATCTGGCGGAGGAGTCATGCGTTGGGCCTGATCAGCCAATCAGAAGCAGACTCTTTTCTCCCAGCCAACCAATAGGAGAAAATGAATCTCTGTTTTGGAGAGAAACTCCTGGAAGGAGTTGATTCTCGATCAGTGGTGATCAAAGCATCCCAGACTTTAAAGGAACTTTCCTGAAAATCAAACAACATAGAGAACCTCTGAAGGATCCAGTCCGGCTCGGTCCGGTTCGGCTCGGTCCGGTCCAGTCGGTTCCAACCTCTGTGACATGATGACTCTGGGCCTCAGGTGTGGTCGGCCAGACCTGGGTTCTGAACCGGTTCCGGCTCGTCCCGCTGGATAAGATCGACCAGGTGGTGATGTCATACGGCGGCCTGCGGGGGGCGGTGGCGTTCGCGCTGGTGGTGCTGCTGGACACAGAGCAGGTCAAAGCCAAGGATTACTTTGTTGCCACGACGATCGTGGTTGTCTTCTTCACCGTCATGTTCCAGGTAGGACCGGTCCGGTTCCTGAGTGAGGAGCCACGGTTTCTGGTTCTGATTCCTGCTCTGGTTCTGGTTCTGGTCCAGGGTCTGACCATCAAGCCTCTGGTCAAGTGGCTGAAGGTTCCTCGCTCCACCAACAGGAAGCCCACCATCAACGAGGAGATCCACGAGCGGGTGATGATGATGATTATGATGATGATGATGAGTCATCATCATCATCAATGTGACGAGTGTGTGTGTGTGTGTGTGTGTGTGTGTGTGTGTGTGTGTGTTGTGTGTGTGTGTGTGTGTCCAGGCCTTTGACCACATCCTGACTGCGGTGGAGGACATCGCAGGCCTGCAGGGTTATCACCACTGGAGAGACAAGTGAGTCCCACCAACATGTCCCCCATCATCAGCACGGTTTCCCAGCATGCTTCACTGCCTCTGCCCCCTCCAGGTGGGAGCAGTTCGATAAGAACTACCTGAGCAAGCTGCTGCTCAGGAAGTCGGTGTACAGGAAGAGCGAGCTCTGGGAGGCGTACCAGAAGATCAACATCCGGGACGCCATCAGCGTCATCGACCAGGTAGGAAGACCGGGTCGGATCCAAACGGACTCTGGTTCTGAAAAGAGCCGGCTGGAGAGTCTGCAGGCTCCAGGTTCTGATTCTGGTTGTCTGAGCAGTCGGGTCTTCCAGGCTGCTAGGACCCGAGCTCTGGTTCTGGTTCTGATCCATAATCCATGGTTGAGGTTGGAACCGAAGATCCAGAACTTCTCCACCTCCGTCTGGAGGAAATGTTGTGCTGATCCATTCCTGGTTTGATGGGTCACCAGAACCAGAGTCGGCAGGCGGCAGAGCTCAGGATTAAATTTCATCTCTGGGGAAACGGAGGAAGAATGCCGACCTTCAGGCGGGTCCAGCAGAAACCAGAACCAGGTCAGGCTTTAATTTGGACCGGGCTTTATTTATGGAGCAGAACTCAGCAGGAACCAGAACCAGGTCAGGCTTTAATTTGGACCGGGCTTTATTTATGGAGCAGAACTCAGCAGGAAGCAAATTAATGGAGGTAGCAGAGATTTTTGCAACCTCAGCGAAATCTGTTTACCGCAAAGGTTTTCCCTTTCCTGAACTGCTCCTCCTGGCTGGACCACCAGGAGGTGCTGCAGGCTGATTGTTGAGGACAGACAGTCTTGTTCTGAGTCCTTCAGGTTCACTGAAGTCCAGCTGACCTCTGACCTCTATGTGCAGGGTGGGAACGTCTTGACCTCGGCCAGGCTGTCACTGCCCTCCATGGCCAGCAGAGCCTCATTTCCTGAAGTCACCAACGTCACCAACTACCTGTGAGTCACATGACATCTGACCCTCTGATGACCTCTGATGGGGCTGCTCAGCAGGAAACAACTTGCTTTCTTCCTGTTTAAATCAACTTTATGGAAGAATTTGAACAAAAACCAACTTTTCACGTCAGATCCAACAACAGATCCAAAGAAGAAGAAATATTGATTTTATCTTTGGCTCCAAACCTGCTGACCTGTGGTTGACGTGTTGCAGGCGGGAGAACGGCAGCGGCGTGTGTCTGGACCTTCAGGTCATCGACAATGTTCCCGGGTCCAAGGTGGAGGAAGACATGGAGACGCATCACGTCCTGGCCGGGAACCTGTACAAGCCCAGGAGACGGGTAACGAGAAGGAGCGGCAGGGGCAACGGCCCGCTGTGGAGCTGCTGGTGACACATGGTGTGTGTGTTTTCCAGTACCAGTCCCACTACAGTCGACACTTCATGCCGCTGGGTGAGCAGGAGCGGCAGGACCGCGAGGTTTTCCAGAGGAACATGAAGAGCCGCATGGAGACCTTCAAGTCCACCAGACACAAGCGGCACAAGAAGGAGCGCAGCCTGAAAAAGGTTCACACACACACCTGAACAGAACCTGCAATCTGACTGTTACAACAGGTCTTATAACAGTCAGAGGCCCGGTTCTGTCAGAACTGCAAGTCTCACTGCAGAGTTCCAGACTCTAGATATGAACACAAACTTGTTTTAATTTTAGAACCGATGCAAATATTACTATCGGCTCTAGTTGCCCTCTTACCTTTCCTCCTTCTGCCGGCAGCGCCGAGGATCTGACACGAAGGACGAGGGAGGAGACAAACCCAGACGCAACGTCAGCTGGCAGGACAAAGGTACCGCGACGTGGGTTGATAAGATGTTGGGTTGATAAGATGTTGGGTTGATGAGATGTTGGGTTGATGAGATGTTGGGTTGATGAGATTGGGTTGATGAGATGTTGGGTTGATGAGATGTTGGGTTGAGGTTGTTGGAGTTGATGATCTTCTACTTGGCCCTCGCCAGCGTCTCAGTAACTGTTGCCGCCACTCTGTCTCAGATCCGGTGGCCGTTCCTGTGGAACCCGAGGAGGATAAAGCTGATCGCTCCGATCCGGAGAAGGAGGAAGACATCGGGATCACCTTCGTTGCTCGGAAGGCGGAGACGCCGAAACAGCGACCCAAATCAGGTAAAGCAGAGAGGCTCTGATTGAACGGCACCGCCTGTAAATGGTGATCCACTAATGGATGCCAAATTTATTTTGATCAAATTTCCAACTAAGTGCTTGACAAGTGAAATGTTAAAGTAAAATACTTGACAAGCTGCAGTCAAATATAGACTTAGACTTAGACTTGACTTTATTGATCCCTTGGGAAGACTCCCTCAGGAAATTATAGTTACCAGCAGCTCACAGGCAAAAATGTGGCACACAGTAAGCATACACAAAAGAATACAAAAAAATACAAATTAAATACAAAACAAAGAATATAAATACAACACAAAAGGAAATTATAGCAATTTGGTGGATAGATTGACCAGTGATATGGTATTGCACTGTATGGTTTGGCCTTGTTGAAGGCAAAGCGATTGAGAACAGATGAAATATTTGGGTCAGTTTAAAAGCAGTTTATAAAAGTTGATGACTAAAACTGAAGAAAAAGGAATGAAAACCATTTGTTACCATGGTTACAAACACAAGTTACAGGTGTTTACATCTCTTCATGGAGATGAAGGTTTCCATAAAACTGATGTTTCCTGCTGAAGGAGAGCATAATGCTGCCATCACCGAACTGTTCTCCCTTCAACGCTTTACTTTCATGAACTAGAACATCCCTAGAGAACGAGCAGCTTCTGCTTCTGCTGGAGTTTTCTTCCTGTTAAAAGGGAGATTTTCCTCTCCACTGTCGCCCCCTGCTGGTCAGCAGTGATGCTGCGGGTCAGGATGCTCTGCTGGCGTTCCTTAGAAATGTTTTAGTTTTACTGAACTTAGATCAAATGGGATGATTGATTGTAAATGATTTATTTTGTGAATTGAATGACACTGAACTGAAAACGAAGCTGCCCATTTCCATGCTGATGGTAGGTTGGTGTATAGCTGCAGTCTTTCTGCATGATGGCTGATTAGAGTTTGTCCTTCAGTCCCAGCAGCTCTGGATGTTTGCCAGAGCCCGCCGCCCCTCCCCCCGTCGCCGCCCGGTGAGGACAGCCATCTGCCCTGGAAGGGCGGCGTGGGGTCGCCCCCGCCCTGCGTGTCGGTGGAGGCCACCAAGATCATCCCGGTGGACCTGCAGCAGGCCTGGAACCAGAGCATCTCCTCCCTGGAGAGCGTCTCGTCGCCTCCGGCGCCCGCTGAGCCTGTCCACCCCCGCGTCAGCGCCCTCTCCAGGCTGGGAGGATCCCGCCCTGCCTCCTACACTGGCCCTGTCGGGGGCGCGCCTGCCCAGGTCCCGCCCCCAGCCGCCTTCTGTTTCTCTGAGAGGAAAAAGAAGAAGCCGGTGGAGGAAGAGGAGGAAGAGGAGGAGCCTGGCACGACGCAAGAGATGCAGCCGCTAATGTCGGCCTTGAAGCCGCCGCAAGCTGCACCCTCGCCGCCAGCCCCGCCCGGCCCAGGCAGGAGGAGGAACCCCTGTGTGTACCTGAGGAGTCTGGTGACCCCGCCCCCTGGTGGCGGCGCCGGCCTCATAGTCACCGCCCCACGCAGCTCTGAACAGGGCCACCAGGTGGCGGGTTGTCTGCCGGCTCGGCCAATAGGAAACCAGCACAATCACATGACCAGAGAGCTCCACCAGCTGAAGATAACCTTCTGTCCTAATCTTCATCACCATCTGCGTCCTTTGTCCTTTCACCAAACTATCCAGCCAAGCTCCTGCTGGATTGGAAGCTTGGAAGGATCGTTGCTCCATCACAGCAGATCAATATGATTCAATAACTGCTGATGTTATTGAATCAATTACACTGAAAATGTCTGTGATGTCTCTGTGATTCAGTGAGTTTAAATGAAAATCCATCCTTTGCTTCATAACGCTTTTGAATTATTGTTGTTTCTTCATACAGCAGGGGGCGCTGCAGCCCCCCTTTCCCTGCCTTTCTGTCTCAGCTGCTCATTTAAAACCCAAACATGTATTTTATACAGGCCTTGTTTTTATTAATGCCGCTGCCTTATTCTGTGCTTTATTCCTGCAGCTGCTGCTGCGGTCCTGTTTGGTCCGGTCCAAACAGGACCAGCGGTTCCGCCAGATAATCGGTGATCTGATCCTGCAGCAGCTCGGCCCAGTCAGCAGGAAAATGGTTTTTATTCATAATAAAGGTCGTTGACATGTTTCTGCTTTAACATGCTGCTAAACATCGGAAATGCCTGAAATTAACACTGAATTATTCCTCTGAAATTAAGAGACAAATAAAGAGAAATTCGATTGAGATGAAAATATTTTTGTTCATATTTTATTATAAATAATTTTTCCGATTTGCCTTGATGAATCCTGATAATGTGGAATTATCGTTGAGTCTTTTTTTTATTGAAAGTGAGTAAAGGTTTTATTTAAGTTATGAGATCCGTGTTTCAGGGAAGAGAAGCACCAAACTGGATCGGAACCAGCAGCTTTCTGACCAACGGAACCAGAACCAGCAGCGCACCACATTTGCGCCTGGATCCCAAATCTGATGTTGTTCTCCATATTATTGCTGTTTGTGTTGAAGGAAAACAGAGGAGTTTAGGACAGATCTTCCTGTTCTGGTTAAAGGAGCAGCTAGTTTGCTTTTACTTGTGCAACTGCTTCATGTATGAAATTAACTCCCTGAACAAACCTCTGAAAATAAAACTAACAATGAAATAAAACCAACTGAATAATGATGGTGTAAAGGTCAAATATCTGATGTAAAATCAGGATATAATAAATACTTTTCATGACAAACACAGTGAACAGATTAAATCAAGTGATGGCGTCTGGCGCCGATGCCAGTGATGTAATGCTGCACAGTGACCACAGGGGGCGCTGTGGTTCGCCTCAGAAGCAGCTGAAGGGTAACTACCGGAAGCTGGTTAGCATCAGTCGCTGAAAGGATAACTAATAACCGCAAATTTAGCGGATTATTTTACCCAGACTGCTCTCTACCGCCGGTGAGTTCTTGTTTTAAATCAGATTAACTAGTTAGTTAACCAGGCTGCTGGTTAGTTAGGGCTAATTAGCGCATTGGTTTGTTCGTGACGGTTACGGACTGGTTGGCGGGGCATCCGAAGCGTTTCTAGAAACTTCTCTGAAGGCCACCACCAGGTAATGATCCCGGTTAAAATGTAAATTAAATACAAAATCAAACAGAGAAGGAAAAAAAACGAATAATTAAGCAGCTAAATGAATAGATGGGTTGATGACGTCACCAGGCCCGTTCTGTACTGGAGTCTACAGAGTAAACACAGGAAGGCCAACGGTACCCCAGTAGATGTTGACCATATTGCGTTTGACTGGTGTAATTTTACATAATGTCACACCATGTTACTATCGGCTGTGATAAAAAGAATAAAATCTGAGGCGAATCTGGATAATTTCCCACATGAGAGAGAGGAGAGCCAGAGAGGAACACAACCAAAGACCTAATCTGGACCTGGACATTTCTCCACAAAACTTTGAGCCATTTATACCAGCAGACCTTAACGAGCTAACAATAAATGCTGTGCTGAGACGGGCAGAGCTGGACGCTCTTTGAGATGCTAACAGAAGCTATACAGCCTGTCTACTGACATCACCGATCCGGCCGGACATTCCTGTGACAATACTTTATTACAATTTATAAAAACTAAATAACCTACAGTATTATTACTGTATTGTTTTTACATCTAAGATAAAATATTTCCCAAATAAGGTTTATTTTTATCACTAATCGTGGTTCCCTTTAAAGGCTCAGGGGTTGGTTCCTCTGGTGAGACATAATCCCACCAGTAGAGGGCAGTGTTCGCCTCGTTAGGATAGGAAACTCATCTGTTTCCTGCATCTCTTTAAGAAAACCGCCTCTGGCAAGCACAAGAACTTTTTATTATGAAATTGAGGAATTTATTTCAAATTTACCCGTTTCCATCAACCGTTTCTATGTGATGGTTCAAAATGTGAATAAACATGTTGCTGGAATGCAACTAATGACATGTGAGAACACGTCCTGCTCAGCAGACTGTCTGGGGCCGTTCTTGTCGGCTGAGCCTGTGAGGCGGACCAGAGCAGGAACGGAGACTATGAGACCAGAGGTGCTCCGATCCCCAAACTGCTGCTGCTGAGAAGCCTCCCGCTCCACCATGACGATGAGTGTTGAGCTGACCAAGCAGTCAGCTGGTCTCCTTGTGTCACTTTCCTCAACGGTTTCACTGTAAAAGTGGTGATGTGGTGATGAGTGTTCCAGAGCTTCTCCTGTTGGACTCTGCCTGCTCTTTGTGCCTGCAGGAATTACTGCGGCTGCAGGTTTCTCTGTGTTTCTGTGGGGATCAGCTTCAGTAATGAAGCTTTTCTCTGGGCTTTAGCTGCAGGCCTCGTCCAGCGCCTCATTGGCTGCCCGTTCATCGCTCCCCGAGCCGGAAAACCTGCTCACATTCCTCTGATGAGCTGCCTGCCTGGCCGCACTCGGGGCACAGCTGCTGCCTGTTGTTGGTTACCAGAACCTGCTGTTCAGAACCACAGACCAGTCATGTGAGCGGCGACACGTTGTGTCACATAATGACTGCGTCAGAGGACGCGCAGTAACCCAAACTCACAATACTCCCTCCATATTCAGCAACTGGTTCCAGCCGGTTCTACTGGTTCCAGTTGGTTCTAATAGCAGAACCAGCTGGTCCACCTCCATGAATATGTCTTAAACCCCCATTTACCGTCATTTGTCCCAGTACCACCATGCACAGGGAGAACCGGGCCGGTTATTAGGGTATAAATATAAATTTATGTTTTACCAGAGCACATGAGGTCACCTCACCAAAAATAAATATATTTAAATGTAAAAAAAATCCAAGTGTAAATGATTGAGCAGCAGAGTGTGACAGCGCCCCCTGCAGTGTGTGGCCGTTTGCTCAACAGAAGAGGAATCATGTTGAAGCAGCCGACATCCCTCTTTGTTTATTTATCATATATGGAGATGCTTCCTGTTCATAAACTCGACTGGATGACTGGCCTCCAGCTGTGCTGCTTCGCCAGGGTTTCCTACCGTAATGCATTTAGATGCATACATCTATCTGACTGACCGGTACCGGTACCTGCTTTAAGTTCTGCTCAGAGCTCCAGGATGATCAGTCTGGATTCATCTAAATAAACCAGCACGTCAATATGATCTCTGATCAACGGCTCCATGTTCTCCATCAGAACCACAGATCCTCAGGTAGCAGCTTACCTTGATGCAGCTGTTGATGCAGCTACTGATGCAGCTACTGATGCAGCTACTGATGCAGCTACTGATGCAGCTACTGATGCAGCTACTGATGCAGCTGCTGATGTACCTGTGACTGTCTGCACACCTGATTACCTTCAATAATAAAACCTGCCTGGAGTTAATCTGCTGATCCAACAGGCTTTTCATGTATTCAGTGAACAGAGCTTTATGAGGCAAAAACTGATGAAATGTACTATTTACATTTGAATGAAGGTTTCATTTAATTTTTACTGTAGGTATTTTGTATGTGTGTGTGTTTTCTGAGGATAACACACACATGTTCAAACAACATATTGTTGTTTTCTGCTACTGGTGCTACAAAAGTAGCACCAGTAGCAGAAGCATCAGTAGCTGCAGCAATAGCAGCAACAACAATAGCAGCAGCAGGATCAGTAGCTGCAGCATAAGCAGCAGCACTAGTAGCATCAGCAGCATCAGTAGCTACAGCAGCAGCAGTAACAGTAGCAATAGCAGCAGCTGTAGCAGCAACAACAACAGTTACAGCAGCAGCAGTAGCTGCAGCAATAGCATCAGCAGCATCAGTAGCTACAGCAGCAACAGTAGCTGCAGCAATAGCAGCAGCAGCAGCAGTAGCAGGAGCAGTAGTTGCAGACAAGATTCATGTGTTTCTGTCCAGGTGCTGCCTGATGAAACAAAAGCAGCTGGGCTGTTTTTGTGTTTCTTTCTCTGGCCTCTTCAAACTTGCCCACCACTGACATAACTTGCTGCTTGTTGGTGCAGCGGGGCTTTAAGGCCACTGCAGTTTCTCTGCCTCATGCAGTTTACCTCTGTTCAGTAAGAGCTGAGCCATGTGGGACACCACAATGAAGAAGAGCAGCATCTTCATGTGGATGCTTTCAAGATGCTACCTGTAGGGCCGCTGTACTGGTGTCAGAGCAGCATTAGTGTTTTAAGGGCCAGTATTATGTATTTTCCAGACACACATTTCCCTTTATAGCACTATCATTAACTGATACCTTCTGCCAGGGCCGTGCAGAGACTAGTAAAGGGGCAGGTGCTCAAAAAAAAACAAAAGGGCACATCAAATCACATTTCAGGACAGAATATTAACAAAGTCACACAGCTCTCAGAGTTTAATTAACAATGATAGATTACAAAATTGTGAGACATACAATCAAAGAACATCTGCTTGGGTTGCTGTACTTGCAGTGGAGATGAAGACGGTCCATTCAGAAAAACAGAGCTGCATCAAACTTTAACGTGGAACTGCAGGAAAAAAACAAAAGCAAAAATGTAATTAATGCATGTCACTATGAGAAAAGACTACTCTATTTGTGTTTTAGTGTATTTTGTAAGTACCTATGTACATTTTCTTCAATCTTTCCTCTTCTTTTTTCTTGTCAGTTTCTCTTTTCTTTTTTTCCTCATTGTCTCATCTTCTCTGTGTTGAGTGAAGTCTTATTTTTTCAGTCTCTTGCCTTTTAACTGTTTAAAAACAAATTTCAAACTTTTAAGCATTTTTTGCTGTTTTTGTTCTCTTTTGTTCATAGCAACAGTTTTCTGTTGGTCATGTCTTGAAGAATGTTAATAACTTCACTGTGAATGATTGGTACAGTTGACCCAGTTGGTCAACAACTTTCTTTTTTGTTTCTGACGTCTCTCTTTACGTGGCGTCTTTGAACTGAAAAAAGCAAAACAAAGAATTATGATCAGAACACTATAATAAACCACACTACCAATTCTTTACCCTTGTGTTTAAACCAATATGTTTTTCAGTCCATAGCATAACAATATTAATTTCTGAGAAAATGAGACCTCTCCTATGGAGTTCAATTTGTTTCACAATTATTCAATTAAAACTAAACTCAATTAAATAATATAAAATTGTGATCAAGACATTTTGAATTGTAACATTTTTTTCAACACAAAAATGTTTAACTTAATTTTTTTGTAAAAACTGAAATTACAATTTTTTAACTCGACTTAAAAAAATTATTTGCAAAACAAACTTATTTGCGCATGTCAGAAATCTTTTCTTGCTATTCAAAGTTTTGCTTGCGATTCTCACATGACAGTCTGGGGAGAGCCTAAAATCAAAACAAAAGATTTCTGATGTGTGCAAATAAAAGTTTATGTTTGCTCCTTCATTAATGACATGCTTTATTGGACAGAAACAGTTTGATTATTACATACATTATATCTATCATGGTAGTTCAGGATGAGTTATTTTTAATTCTTAATGAATATCCTTGTTGGACTTTTATTTAAATTCTCCTTCAAGATACATTTACCTAACGCTAGAATAAATGCAATATACATCATTCACAAAGAAAATTAGAAAATCGGACATATATCCATTATGGAGATGATAGGTTTTGGACGGGCGATGTGCCCCTATTGCATAAGTAATACTGAAGAATGACTGCTGTCATTAACAATACAGGGAAGCTATTTAGTTACCTTGCTTTGCTAGCAAAGTCATTAGCTAGCAGCTAGCTCATAGCACAACAACAGTCTAATGTTTGATGATAAAAATACTGGATCGATAGATAAGAACAGCTTTTCCTCACCTGGCTGCCTCCTCCCGCTCAGTAGATATTCAGAGAGGCGGACTTAGAGACTTATATTCTCTAAGACGCCTGTCTTGTTATATTTCATTTCTGCTTAAACCGCAACTCCGTGCTGAAGGAGAAACGATACATTTAACGTTTTCTGTTATCTGACAAGTAGCAAGCCGACTCCAGTGTTTTCACCAAAAATATTTTTTTTCAGTTCACCAAAAGCTGTTTTGTAATCTGGAACGTCACTAGCTTGAGCTCCGCAGTTAGCCGCCTTATCTCACCGCGCGAGAGGCAAGTGCGTCGTGCGTCACGGGCAAAAGGTCAAAGGTAACAATGTGACCGGAGGGCTTATTGTGTTGTTTTTCTTGCAAAGTAATAATAATAATAGTAATAATAGTAATATAGTAATAATTGTAGTACATGTGTAAGAAAAAACAAAAAAACAAAAGGGCACTTGGGGCCATGGAGCAAAAGGGGCAGGTGCTCAAGCCCCCAAAGCACCCCCCTCTGCACGCGCCTGCCTTCTGCTGTTTTAATGATGAAGATGACTTAAAATAAGTTTGACTTAATCATTTAACGTTTGTCTCTTTAAGAAGCTCCTGCTCTACTGTACCTGACGGTCTGCTTCCAGGAAGTCATCCCAACATGACTCCTCTATCAACCCTTTAATGTTCTTACCAGCGTTGCTCTGAGCAGCAGCTCCTATGACGAGCTCAGCAGCTGATTGCTAATTGCTGCTGGCTAGCCTGAAGGAGCAGAGTGGGAGACGAGCTTCTGAGGTGGGATCCAGATGATTAGCAGCTGAATAGTTACCATGGAGATGAAATGATTTCTCAATCATGAAAGAATCAGATCAACACAGCCGGAAAAACATTAAAACATGACGAAGATCAGAAAGGTAATTTTACATAAAACTGCTTCATCTAACTTACAAGTCAAATACAGACATGTTGGATACCTGCCTGGAGGACATTCCGGTTGGTTTCCGTTCTGGTTGGTTCCAGTTCCGGTTGGTTCCCGTTCCGGTTGGTTCCCGTTCCGGTTGGTTTCTGTTCCAGTTCCGGTTGGTTTTTGTTCCGGTTGGTTCCAGTTCTGGTTGGTTTTCGTTCCGGTTGGTTCCCGTTCCGGTTGGTTCCCGTTCCGGTTGGTTCCCGTTCCGGTTGGTTTCTGTTCCAGTTTCGGTTGGTTTTCGTTCCGGTTGGTTCCAGTTCTGGTTGGTTCCCGTTCCGGTTGGTTCCCTTTCCGGTTGGTTTCTTTTCCAGTTCCGGTTGGGTTTCGTTCCGGTTGGATCCCGTTCCGGTTGGTTCCAGTTCCAGTTGGTTCCAGTTCCGGTTGGTTCCCGTTCCAATTGGTTTCCGTTCCGGTTGGTTCCAGTTCCAGTTAGTTCCAGTTCCGTTTGGTTCCAGTTCCGTTTGGTTCCTGTTCCAGTTGGTTCCCGTTCCGGTTGGTTCCTGTTCTGGATGGTTTCTGTTCCAGTTCCGGTTGCTTTCTGTTCCGGTTGGTTCCAGTTCCAGTTGGTTCCAGTTCCAGTTAGTTCCCGTTCCGGTTAGTTCCCGTTCCGGTTGGTTCCCGTTCCGGTTGGTTTTTGTTCCAGTTTTGGTTGGTTTTCGTTCCGGTTGGTTCCCGTTCCGGTTGGTTTCTGTTCCAGTTTCGGTTGGTTTTCGTTCCGGTTGGTTCCCGTTCCGGTTGGTTCCCGTTCCGGTTGGTTCCCGTTCCGGTTGGTTTCTGTTCCCGTTCCGGTTGGTTTCTGTTCCAGTTCCGGTTGGTTCCCGTTCCGGTTGGTTCCCGTTCCGTTGGTTTCTTTTCCAGTTCCGGTTGGTTTCGTTCCGTTGGATCCCGTTCCGGTTGGTTCCAGTTCCAGTTGGTTCCAGTTCCGGTTGGTTCCCGTTCCGGTTGGTTTCTGTTCCCGTTCCGGTTGGTTTCTGTTCCAGTTCCGGTTGGTTCCCGTTCCGGTTGGTTCCCGTTCCGGTTGGTTTCTTTTCCAGTTCCGGTTGGTTTTCGTTCCGGTTGGATCCCGTTCCGGTTGGTTCCAGTTCCAGTTGGTTCCAGTTCCGGTTGGTTCCCGTTCCAATTGGTTTCCGTTCCGGTTGGTTCCAGTTCCAGTTAGTTCCAGTTCCGTTTGGTTCCTGTTTCAGTTGGTTCCCGTTCCGGTTGGTTCCAGTTCTGGATGGTTTCTGTTCCAGTTCCGGTTGCTTTCTGTTCCGGGTGGTTCCAGTTCCAGTTGGTTCCAGTTCCAGTTAGTTCCCGTTCCGGTTGTTTCCCGTTCCGGTTAGTTCCCGTTCCGGTTGGTTTTTGTTCCAGTTTTGGTTGGTTTTCGTTCCGGTTGGTTCCCGTTCCGGTTGGTTTCTGTTCCAGTTTCGGTTGGTTTTCGTTCCGGTTGGTTCCTGTTCCGGTTGGTTTCTGTTCCCGTTCCGGTTGGTTTTCGTTCCGGTTGGATCCCGTTCGAGTTGGTTCCTGTTCCGGTTGGTCCCCTTTCCGGTTGGTTCCCGTTCCGGTTGATTCCCGTTCTGGTTGGTTCCCGTTCCAGTTTGTTCCCGTTCCGGTTGGTTCCATTTCCGGTTGGTTCCAGTTCCGGTTGGTTCCCGTTCCGGTTGGTTCCAGTTCCGGTTGGTTCCCGTTCCAATTGGTTTCCGTTCCGGTTGGTTCCAGTTCCAGTTAGTTCCAGTTCCGTTTGGTTCCAGTTCCGTTTGGTTCCTGTTTCAGTTGGTTCCCGTTCCGGTTGGTTCCAGTTCTGGATGGTTTCTGTTCCAGTTCCGGTTGCTTTCTGTTCCGGGTGGTTCCAGTTCCAGTTGGTCCCAGTTCCAGTTAGTTCCCGTTCCGGTTGTTTCCCGTTCCGGTTAGTTCTCGTTCCGGTTGGTTTTTGTTCCAGTTTTGGTTGGTTTTCGTTCCGGTTGGTTCCCGTTCCGGTTGGTTTCTGTTCCAGTTCCGGTTGGTTTTCGTTCCGGTTGGATCCCGTTCGAGTTGGTTCCTGTTCCGGTTGGTCCCCTTTCCGGTTGGTTCCCGTTCTGGTTGGTTCCCGTTCCAGTTTGTTCCTGTTCCGGTTGGTTCCATTTCCGGTTGGTTCCAGTTCCGGTTGGTTCCAGTTCTAGTTGGTTCCAGTTCCAGTTGGTTCCCGTTCCGGTAGGTTCCTGTTCCGGTTGCATCCAGTTCCGGTTGGTTCCCGTTCCAGTTGGTTTCTGTTCCAGTTCCGGTTGGTTCCAGTTCCGGTTGGTTCCAGTCCCGGTTAGTTCCCATTCCGGTTGTCCCCTTTCCGGTTGGTTCCCGTTCCGGTTGTTTCCCGTTCCGGTTGGTTCCCGTTACAATTGGTTTCTGTTCCAGTTCCGGTTGGTTCCCATTCCGGTTGGTTCCAGTTCGGTTTGGTTCCCATTCCGGTTGGTTTCTGTTCCAGTTCCGGTTGGTTCCGTTGTGGAGAACGTTCTCCCCCTTGGCTGCTGCAGACATGATGCTGTTGTGGCTCTGCTGCTCTATTTAAAGACCAGATCTTCTGTCCAAAGAATGTCGTCTCAACTGCTGCCAGCACACAGTGAAAGAGAGAGGCTGTGTGTGTGTGTGTGTGTGTGTGTGTGTGTGTGTGTGTGTGTGTGTGTGTGTGTGTGTGTGTGTGTGTGTTAGCAGTTGAGTGCGATGCTCCCACAGTGAGTCGGGGGGTGGAGCCGTCTGAGCTGCAGGCTGGAGCTGCTGCTTCTCTGAACACGTGCTGCTGCTCCGCCGCTTCGCTCTGCACATTTGGAGCGCCTGTTGTTGTTCTGGGAGGGCCCGGTTTGGAGCGGCCCGGTTCAGAACGGCCCGGTCTGGTCTGAGACGAGCTGAAGTCCAGACGGGGTGAGTGCTTTGTTTCTCTTGTTCCAGGCTCTGAGTGGGCTGAGAGAAAAACCCAGCTGCTGCTCAGGAGCTGCAGAAGTTTCCTAACTTTGATCCTTTGAAGACTGGTTCTGGTTCTGCTGAGTGGTTCTGCTGGACGGACCCGGATGGTACAGGGATGTCCTGCGGTCAGTGTACCGACCTGTTGATCAGCAGAAACATGTTGCTGACCTGCAGGGCTCTGACCAGAACCACCCGACTGGATGCTTTCAGGTCCGGTTTAATGGTTTAACTGGTTACCAGCTCGTCTTATTGGACCAATTCCCAGTAACAGGAGGGCATATGTTAAGCAGAACTTCACAATAAGAGCCTCATGTAGCTCTGAGCTCCCCTCTCTGCTCATTGATAATAATAATAACAGATTATGATTTAATCCAGAAATAATCCCAGCTGCTGCTGCTCAGATTGAGGTGAGAACTGGGACCAGCAGCCGGCTGGTACTGGTGCTGTTGGGAGTTGGATCAGATGATCTTCATGGAAACTGATGGAACGTTTCAGGAATGTTTTAAAGCTGCCATATTTTTAAAATTGCACATTTCTGTTGAAACTCACTTTGTGCAGATGGCTCCTGCTCCCAGTGCTCCCAGTGCTCACTGCAGAAATACACTGATCAGCCACAACCAGTCAGAATGAGAAGGATCTTAGCACTGTCAGTCAGGCTTATGTATGCGCTGCTCATACCCGCCTCCTTCTTTGTTACAGCTGGTTTACCACAGCCAGTCTTTCATGAGTGCTAAGGCTAGCTAGCATAGAGAGACGCTCTTGGAAGTGCTGCTGTTGTTTGTGTGTTGTAGGTTGCCGGTTCACCATTTTGTTTTTTCAATGTAAGTTTCATTCTTCATTGTGGTTTGTTTATTCCTTCAGAGTTTGGTTTTGTGTCTGTCTCCTGCTTTGATCAATGATATTTCCTAGATGTCATTGAATGTTACCGTTTACCTGTGCTCCTTGAACGTGTGAGTCGGCGTGAGTTATTTAACACGGTCTGAAAAGAAAAGAAACCAGATTCCCCAGATCCTAACTGAAGGTGTTAGCAGTTAGCATCACGATCAACTCTTTTTCTCCTGCTAATGTCTTTAGCTCTAGCTAACAGTCTTAGCTCCTGCTAGTATAGGCCAAGCTGATGGCGATAGATTGTTTCAGCAGATTTCATGTCCAGAAGGTTGTGGATCCCTTTAAGGTTGTCATCTAGTCATCATGGTCTCCAGCCATGATGACCAGAACCAGAACCAGGCACTGGTTCTGGTTCTGGTTCTGGTTCTGGTCCTAGTTCTGGTCCTGGTCCTGGCTCTGGTCCTGGTCCTGCTCCTGGTTCTTGTTATGGTCCTGGTTCTAGTTTTGGTATAAACGGATCCAGAGAGCGGTTCCCATGAAGATAGAGTTGTACTGTCAAATTTTTTCAAAAATATGAGCGCAAAAAAATTAGCTGCAGCTTAGGTGTGTGTGTGTGCGTGTGTGTGTGGGCGTGCGTGTGTGTGCGTGTGTGTGTGGGGGGGGGCGTGCGTGCGTGTGTGTGCGTGTGTGTGCGTGTGTGTGTGTGTGTGTGTGTGTGTGTGTGTGTGTGTGTGTGTGTGTGTGTGTGTGTGTGTGTGTGTGTGCATGCCTCCCTACCCCTCAGGTGTGTGTTCTGGCTTTCTGATTGGATCCCTGATGAGATTCCTGATCTGATTGGTCAACTGTAAACATGGCGTTGATGAGCGAACAGGAATTGTTCCTTTGAGGATGTTTCTAGGTTTCCCAGTAGATCCAGTGCTCCCAGTAGAGGTGACCAGCCTCATTGTGCTGCTGCCGCATGGTTTCCCCCTCAGAGATCCTGAAAGACGTTTTTCGCTGTGGCTCGTGGAAACCACATTGACTCCCAGTAGCTCCATGGAAACCAGCACTGGTTTCACTCAGCTTGACTGGGAGTGGCCCAGTTCAGTCCCAGTCTGTGACGTTAAAGCAGAATGTTTCCAGACATTGTCAAAGTGGGACCATCATGAATCACTTTTTGGTGCTGTTCACTGGTTTCCAGTCAGAGACCGTCACAGATGTCCTGACCCACATCAGAACTGTCAGCCGACCCGCTGATCCGATTCATTCCGGTTCTGTTGGATTGGTCATGTGACATGGTTTTCACAAGTAAAGCATTTAGCTCTAATGTAAAATGATCCTGAAGTCTCCTCCTGGTTCTGACCCGGTGAGGCCGACTGTAATGTTAGGTTCTGATCCAGTTTGGGTTTTAGGTTCTGCTGCAGCCAGCAGGGGGCAGCAGAGGGGAGGAAATTGAGGGAGGGCTGACAGCAGGGAGGCGGAGCTTAGCTGCTGTCAGCTCTGAGAGACAGACTGGGACAGACAGACTGGGATCATGGAGTCAAACGAGTAATTTCCCCTGACTCCACACTGCAGACAGCATGGTAAGGCCTCCACACACACAATGCCTGCAGCAGTTTAAAATTATAAGGATTTCTTTTCATTTGAACTTTCTCTAACAAAATATAAATTCATTAGTAATACCTGATAGGAGCTGAAATGCAGAGCGAATGAACAGAAAAGGCACAAAGCATTTCAACTTGTTTCTTTTTGGTATTTTGCGTAGCACGGGCGCGATCGGACCACAGAATTCAAAGCGCTGTCAAGTTCTGTCCCTGAGGACGGACCGAGAAAAAAATAAAAACACCTCCCTACTGCCCCGGTTGGGGCAGTAGGGAGGTGTAGGGTTCCACCAGGGTGTGTGTGTGTTAGGGATTCAACATTGGATCTGAGGTGTGTGTGTAGCTGTGAGCAGCAGGACCAGCAAAACACTCGGACCTGTCAGTTAAAGTCAGGTCAAACACCAGAACCCAACAGAACCCGGCCTGGTGGAGCAGAACCACTCCGTGGTCCAGTTCTGTAAACAGGTGGAGGTGGGTCAGCTGGGACTCCTGCAGCTGAGCCGATCAGACTGGGAGGTTCTGCCACCTTCGGATCAGAACCAGAGCATCACGACCCAACGCCTGGTTCTGATTCTGCCCAACAGAACCAGCAGTCAGAGCTTCCTGTAGCCGGGCAGGTTATCATGGGATGTTTGTGGTTTGATGGGCTGCAGTGAAAACTTTATTTCTGTAGCACCACCTGAACAAAGCACCAGCCCCCAGCGTCCAATCAGATCGCTTGACCTGAGGAGCTGCTTCCATCGTTAGCGATGTAGCTGCGCGTCAAATTTAGAGGCTTACCAGAAACATGTGAATACAAAGGTTCCAGCTGGGGACGGGTGGAAAAAATCACAAATAAAATGATTAATTTGGTAAAATAAATCAAAGTAATTAATAAATTGAAATGACGTAGAGATGCGTCTTTAAATAGATTCATATTTATTGCTGAACCAAAGGGAAGAAAGTAGTGAAACTAAACCTCTTCAGGTTTTGGTCTTTGCAGGCATCAGGTTATCATCGCTGTCCTCCCATTTCCTGTCTCTACTGCTCTGTTCAGAACCAGAACCTGGACCCGGCATCGGCTCCAGCTTGACTCTGAAGTGACTCTTTGTTTCGCCAGCAGAACAAGTGAAAACAGTGACTCACTCTGACGATTACGCACACCTGAGCAGGCGAAGTGCCGTTACCATGGAGACGTCAGGTAAACTGGGAGTGCTGACAGAAACATGCTCAAGGAGCCACAACAGGAACCAGAGCTAATGTGGGTCCAGTCAGAGGTCAGTGGTTCTGACTGAACTCCCAGGTTAGACCTGTGGATGGAGATCCACCTGAGAGACCGCTGCCTGAGCAGGTGGGCAACATCACAGGTGAGGAGGTTCATGGGGAGTTCTGATTGGTTGATGGCAGTTGAATCTGAGCTCAGAATGGATGGGTTAGTTCTGATCCAGATTGGTTCTGTTGGGTTCTTCGGAATGTTCTGGTCTGACTGCATGAGTCCATGCAGCTGCAGGTGATCAGTTCGGTGTGTTGCGTTGCTGCGCGATGCCGTTGCTGCGCGTTGCCGTTGCTGCGCGTTGCGCCCTCATCAAGGTCAGCTTCAGCGTCAGAACCAGCCCGAGGTCTGCTGCTTGACCCAAGAGTTTCTGCTGGTTTGTTGCAGTCATAGTTTTAGTGTCAAACTGGTCAGAACCCGGTCTGTGGTTCTGGTGGACCCAGAGCAGACTGGTTTCCCCCCGCCGGCGCCAGGTCACCATGTGGGTCGTGTTCTCCACGCTCTGGGTCCTTCTGGAAGCCGTCTTCACGCTACCTGTCGGGTCAGATGTCTCTACAGTTCCGGCCTCTCATTTGTCCAGAACAGGGGTCACCAACTTGGGGTCGGCGGGCGTCGGGTCGCCCGAGGGGTCACTGTCAGTCGCCCGCAGAGCAACTTCTAAAAATAGCCATTGTAATTGGGGAGCACTACCAAAGAAATTCTTTTATTTATTGTTTTTACATTGAAGTAATAAAATGTGTTTAGAATTTTTAAAGAAAGTGAATTATAAAAATGTTTAAAATAAATTGATTCATGCATAAATCTCTTCTATGGTTAAAGTTCAGAACGATGCAGACACCTGCAGGATATTATTGCAGCGCCTGAGGCGGTGAGGCAGTCGGTACCGATGGGTGAGACTGGGACTCTGATCAGAACCAGGAGCATCCCACCCTGATCAGAACACGGCCCGTCTCCCTTGGCTTTAAACCTCATCTGCTGAAGGAGTCCTCCTGGTTCTGGTTTTGAGAGACGGTTTCTGTAGAACATCAGTGACCCAGTCCCAGGCTCAGTGTGAGGTTCTGCTCTCTCTGACTTGGACTGGTGGTTCTGGTTCTGGTGTTCCAGCAGCCTGGCTGTCTGGAACATTCCTGTCTCAGTAAGCTGCAGAGGCATCGCCTGAAGGCGCGCCGCTCTTTCCTGCTCAGCGCCTCTGGAATGTGATAACATCAGATGAAACTTTAATCCCTGAGAGGAAACTGCAGCGTCTCCAGACGAGCCGCAGCACGCCGCGGCTGGCCCGCAGCATCACAGAACCATGGCAGGTAATCCTAGCAGGAAGCTGCTATGGCTGCGGCTGATGATGATGGCAGCAGGGATTTGATGTTTGACGTGTGAGCTGTTGGGACGTTCACTTCGGCTGCTGCAGACCGACTTTCTCTGCTTTCTAGACGACCTTCCCCTCATGCAGCTGTTACTGAAGCGACCAGTTAAAATACTTCATTTGCTAAATGACTTACAAATCGTTTTTCTAAATAACTTTTTTGTAAATTTAGCCTTTTCCCAAATTATTTTTTAGAAAAAATGTTTTCTCTAATATTTTGTTGAAGTCTCGGCTTGAGATGTTTGGAAAGAGAACTCGATTTGAAAAGAACGAAGTCATTTCCAAAACTCATTTTAGGTTCAAAAAGCTGCATAAATGTAGGTTCAACCATTTGTATGCACTCCATAAACTACTCTCAACGTGTATTTTTTTAATCAAAGTTTGACTTTTGAAATGAATTTTACTTTTCAAATTTTAGTTTTTGAAACTTGTTTGCTTTCAATAACATTTGAATGTTAAGCATCCAGAAGAAACTACGCCGGGTTTTAATGAGCCGCAGAACGTTGTTAGAATCCAGGCTTTTATTGTGAAGGTTAGCAGGATGTTGTATCTGTGCTCTGTGCTACCAGTTAGAGTAGGAGCTGGCCAAACTGGGAACCAGTTAAGCAGCTGCAGCAGAACATTGTGCTGGAAGCAGGAAGGAGAAAGTTTGGTGGATGAAAGATCTCATCCTTTTGGAGTCACTTCAGATTTACTGGTTTCATGAACCGCCTCCTGCCTGCTAACATCGTCTACGCTAGCATAGCATGCAGCGCTGATGTTTCCATAACGACGTCGGCCATTTTTCCCTGGCGAAGCTCCAGCTGCTTTCATCCAGAGGACAGAAACGCCTCATCCTCCTCATCGCTTTCTGGCAGGACCAGAGGTCGTCTCCAGAGGTTTCCTCATTAGGGAGCCGTGACCTTTGACCCAGCATGGAGCTCGGATCCTGCAGACTGATGTTGGGACATGTTTACCTGCTGCTCCACGCCCTGCAGGAACCGGTTCTGCCATCAGGATGAATCACGGTCCGGTGGCCTTCCGTCCAAACCAGCAGAACCAGAACCAGCAGAACCAGAACCAGCAGAACCAGAACCAGCAGAACCAGAACCAGCTCCTCTGAAAGCATCAGGAACATTGGAGCCCGTCGGCAGGACGCTGCACTGGGGACCATCAGAACCAGGACCCTCAGTGGGCGCTTGGGCCTCTGGGGGGCGCTCTCTGTGAAGTGGTCTGCTCTGACCTTTGACCTCCTGCTAAGTGATCAGTTATTGAGCCACAGCAGGAAGTCATAATCAGCTCAGAGTGAGAGGCCCTCCGTGCTCCTCTTCCTCCCCTCTCCTCTCTGGTTCTGGTTCTGGTCCGGCCCAGGTCCACATGTCCTCTCTGTTCTGTCTCCTGCAGGACTCTGAGTCTGTGGACGTCTGCGTCCAGAAGGCGCTGGCCGCCGTCTTCCCGCCCTTCCAGGCCTCGGCCCCCACCCTGCTGCCTCAGGTCCTCGCCGTGGTGGACAGCTGTTACCGTGGAGACGGCCTCCGCTTCCTCTTCCACTTCCTGCTTCCTTCCAAGCACTTCCTGCAGAACCTGCAGCAGGCTGCCTGCGTGAGTTCCTGCGGACGACTGTCCATCCTGTCCCCTGTCTGTCCTCACACCTTCAACCTTTGACCCCCACACAGAAAGATGAAGTGATTTAAACATGAAAAGTAGCGATTTCAGCGTTCGAGAAGAAGAAGGGCGTTGACCTTTGACCCCTAGGCCTTCTGAACAGAATGTCCTTCTGTTTTTTCTGCCTATTAAAACAGGAAAGAGTTGAAGCTTTTAGCAACTTTTCTAGAAAACATGAAACTTGGCAGCTTTTCATAATCGACTGTTTGGTAAAAGAGAAAATGTTTATTTTTAAATCAATAAAAACAAATTGACATCCTTAGTTTCAGTGAACAAAATTCATTTATAAAAATGATGTCCAGACGTTTTCTCTGCAACCTTCTCTGACTGCCGAAACAGGCCCACAGCACAGTGCTGCCACTACCATGCTCTCCTATAAAGACGTTGCTATGGCAACGAGCAGATTCATGTGTTAGAGCGGCCTAGTCAAAGTCCAGACTGTAGCCTCCCTGAGCTGGAGATGTTTTACTCAGCAGAACAGAGATAAACCGCAGAAGGCCTGCACACCGCACTTTTCAGATCAGGCATGAATGATGATTATGCTTCCAGCTCTCAGTTCTGCTGTGGTTTTCTCCCAGTAAGCCCAGACTGGTGAGGAAAACTTCAAGACCTCTGAATACTTTAGTCAGACTTTGTGTCCGTCCATCATGGAGTCGATTTTATTGAGAACAGGAGAGGAGGATTGTGTTTGTCCTGATGACTGACCTCTGACCCCACCCCTCTCTCTGACCCCGCCCCCTCCAGGCTCCGTTCTCCGGCCTGCTGTTCCGTCATCCCGGCTGGCCGCTCTGCCTCCATGACAGGATAGTCGTCCATCTTTGTCCTCTGGATCCGCTCCTCCTCCTTCCAGGAGACTTCTACCTGCTGCTTTCTCCTCCTGCTGCCGCCCACGTCCCCCCTCGCCTGCTCCTGGTCAGCGCGTCAGCGGGCGGCCGCCATGCGGAGCGGCAGGAGGTGCCGGCCCGGGCCCTGACCTCCATCTTCAGCATGGCTTGGCTGGACGCCGAGAACCGGGAGCGTGAGCGACGCGGCGCCGTCGGGCTGCGGCGCTGCGTCCTGTCCGCCCACGGCGACGTCTTCAGGGTCCCCTGGGAGGACGTCGTCCACCCGCAGTTCGTCAGCCGCTCGCGCAGCTCCGCCCCCTCAAGGTCGGACGGGAAGCCCCTCCCCCTCCCAGCTACACCCAGCCGGTCAGCAGCCAGCAGCGACGACTCAGAGGGCGAATACGTGGAGCTGACGGAGCTGCTGCCGCCGCTACAACCTGCGCTGCCACGCTTCTCCCCACAGAAAGGATCCCTGACCCAGTCTATCAGCCTGCAGAACCGGACCAGAACCACAACACACTCCAACACCCACCCGTGGGCCCCCAAGGCTAGCTCACACACCCTGCAGTGCTCCAGACTGCTGGAGGAGAACTTCAGTTCCTCCTCCTGCTCCTCAGAAGGCCGCGGCGCAGCAGGGAGGAGCAGCATGCACGTTGCAGCTGCAGGAGGTGAGGAAGAGGAGGAGGCAGAGCATGACAGAGATAAAGGTTTGGAGTCAGACGTTGCAGAAAGAGAAGAGCGGCTGCAGCAGGAGAGGAGGAGCGAAGAAGGGGAGGAGGAGGTGGTTCTGCAAAGAAAGGAGGAAGTGATGAAAGTTGATCAGAAAGAAGGAGGGGAGGTTAAAGAGAAAGAGACAGGATGTGAAGAGTGCTCAGCTAAGGGCTTTTACTCTGAAATTAACAAACTAATGCACTCTGACAACTCTTATTCTGAAAGGTTTATGAGGAAACTGAACCCAGAGGCCTCGCACTGTAAAAACATGACTGGAAATACACACACAGAAGACTTTTGTTGTGAAAGTATCACAGACAAAATCCTCCCAGAGGACTCTTATTCTGAAAATATGTCAGAAAAAAAGAAACAGGGTAACTCTAATTATGGACATATGGAAGAAAATACACATCCAGAAGGCACTTACTCTGAAAAACTAACAAAAAATACAAACCTGAAGGACCTTTATTCTGAAAATATTGTAGAGAAAATAAACCTGGAGGACTCTTCTTGTGAAAATATGAGCCACAAAACAGCCACCCCAGATTTTCAGTGTAAAAGCAGGGAAAGCAAACCTCCAGCTGATTATTATTTTGAAAATGCTCTAAAAACAACCTTTGCCAGCTCTTTTTCTGAAAATGAGACACAGGAAACTGTCACTGATGTCTTTTATTCTGACAGCACATTGGAGACACAGTCTGAAGACTCTTATTTTGAAATTGGCTCCTTTCAAATACCCTCTACGTCAAAGAGGTTAAATTCTGGGCATGTTTTCCCCAACGACTTTAAAACTGAAGAAAGCCTCCTCAAATCCGAAGACTCTTACTCTGAAAAGCTGATACAACGAACACTACCTGAGGACTCTTATTTTGAAAAACAACTTGACTCTTATTCTGAAAATCTGATGCATGAAAACTCTTCTTCTGAAAATGCAACACAACATAAAGATTCTTATTCTGAAGATCAGATTAAACCTGAGGACTCTTATTCTGAAAAACATGAACAACCTGATGACTCTTATTCTGAAAAACGGACACAACCTGAGAGTTTCTGTTCGACAACAAAACAACTGGATGTCATTTATTCTGAAAAACAAGTGCAGGACTCTTATTGTGAAGCTCCAGGAGAGTCTGAGGAAACTCCTCCTGCGTTCAGTGGAGGGCAGGAGAACCTGGAGGAAGAAGAGGAGCAGATTGATGGACGAAGATCTGCAGGTCATCAGACTGAAGGTACACCCTTCCTCTTCCTCCTCTTCCTCACGCTGATGATTTATCCGGCAATCACCAGTGTCTTTCTGATCTTCTCCTCCTCTGATTGGCTGAATCCCTTTTTACGCCTTTTGTCTTTGTAACTGTTTTTTCTCCTCTGATTGGCTGAGGCGTTTCCCTGTCTGTAGCTCCTCCTCCTAACTCACCTGTTTGTCTGCCGGGTTCGGGATGATCTGCTCTGAGCTCCAAGTCACAGAAAGTCCTTGTGTCTTGCTGTGACGTCCTGGACTTTAAAGAACTTTTTATTGATTTGGATCTCCATCTGGTTCTGGTTCTGATCAGACGTCTCTCTGCAGGTTCCAGCTGTGAGGGTTCCCATATCCAGTTACACATCAACGCTGGTTCTAGTCCAAAAGAACCAGAAAATCCCTTAGCTTCCCCAGCCCAGTCCTCCCAGTCCAGGTTCCAGAGTGTGCTGCTGGGATCTGGAGCTGTGTGCCTGCCTGGTGAGCAGCAGAAACCAGAGCAGCCTGTTTGGGCCCAGTGGGTCGGGCCCCTTCTGTCTGCCACACATGCTGGAGCGTAAAATATCGTTAGCATATTGTAGTGTTTGTTTAGCATGTTTAAACCTGCTGTAAGTGTGTGTTTAGCGTGTTGATGTGCCGGCTGCGTCTCCACCAGGAACCAGAGACAGAGCAGGCCGGGTTCTTCTCACCGTCTCCACCTGCAGCCCTGTGTGGTCGGAGCCAGGCTGCGAGAGCACTGAGCTGCTCCGCCTCATGCTGTACTACACCTCCACCCTCAGGTACGCCCAGATCCTGCTTACTGCTCTCACCCAATGATGGCGCTCTCTGACATCACTTCCTGTGTGAAACAGGGCGGAGGCTCGAGTCATGGGGCTGACGGTGTTGGTGGATGCTCGAAGAGCTGCTCCTGCACCTGCCCTCTTCTCTGCCCTCCAGATGCTGCGGGTGAGGCTCGACCACAGGGAGGAGGGTCACATGACCACCTGATTATATTGAGCAGAACCAGATCATCTATATAATCATCTATTGAAACCAGCTGCAGGCCTTGGTGGGTTTGTTGCTGGAGAAAACATAACTTATCCTAAGGGTCTGAATGAACTAAAACTGAAAAAGCTCTTTCAGAAAAAGAGCTGCGTAGGTTGGGTTTTTAGACGTTTTATTTCTCCCTACACGGTGGATAAAATGCCTGGCTCGACTCCAGCTGCTCTGGAATCTTTCATTCAAACAGCTGGAAACAGACAAACTTCAGCTGAGGTTCTGGTTCTGTTCTTGGGATGTTCTGTGTCTGAGGATGCTTTTCTGTGCAGGAGGACACGCCCAGCTCCGTCCACTCAGTCCTCATCCTGGCTAACAGAGACTCATCACTTTGGCTGGATAAAGCTGCTGCTGCTCAGGTAGCTATAGCAGCTGGCAGGCTCCGCCCTGCTGCTCTCTGTGCATGCTAACAGTGAATGCTAACAGTGAGTTTCCTCCTGCAGGTGGAGGTGCTGAGCTCCCTGAAGTCCCTGCAGAGACACGTGGATCTGCAGCAGCTTCCTGTACAGCTTGGAGGCTCATTCAGCTTCAGCCAGAGCAGCTGGATCAGCTTCAGATCGGTCAGCACACACACACAGACACACACAGTCAGTGGAGTTAAACCTGACCCCGGTGACCCCTGCAGTGTGACCTCAGCCTCTGCAGTCTCTGCAACGTTGATGAAATGATGTTTCGATGCTTTGTGTCCATCAGAGGGTGGAGCAGTTCTCCAGGCAGTGCAGCAGCGTCATCCATCTGCTGCAGGAAACTATCAGCAACCTGCAGAGCACACCTTTACCTGCTGTTGCTGAGGTAACAGGGCAGGTGATCAGTGGGGAGACTTTTGTTTCTATTTGCTGTAAACCAGGTTCAGCTTCATCAAAATGTTTTGACTAGGCCAACCCAGACGTTGTCCCTGTCTTCCTGCCAGGATGCAGAGCAGCTGCTGTCCAGCTGCAGGGCGGTGATGTGCAGCACCCTGAAAGACGCCCGCTTGGTGCAGCTGCAGCAGGAGGGCGGGGCCTCTCTGGCCTGGCTGCGCAGGGACGAGGTGATCTGCTCGGCGGAGGAGCGGCGGGCGGCGGTGGAGGCCGCGGCGTCTCTCTACGATCAGGTGGACGACCTGCTGCATCGCCTGGTCACTCTGTCCAACACCAGGACTCAGGAGCTCAGCTTCATCATCGAGTTCAGGACCCTGGAGCGTGGCTTCAGCCAGGTGAGACTGAGCATGCTCAGTGAGGCTGTCATGGCTGCTGAGGAGCAGCTTCAGCTCTCAATATGCAGTAGTCGACAGTATGTTACTGAATGCCCTGAGGCAGAACTCACCCCTCCATGGCTGATGGATCAGAACATCTCTGGTCAGACCAGTCACTTGGTTCTGACCCGTTCCTGCTACCTGTTCGGCAGGTGAGGGCGTGGCTGGAGCAAGAGGGTGAACTCTGTCTGCAGTGTCTGAATGAGCCAGTGGATTCTCTGGAGCTGCTGAGCAGGAAACAACAGGACTTCAAGGAGTTCTACGCCGCCGCTTACGTGAGTTCTGCAGAACCGTCTGGGTCGGAGCTGCGGGCACGGCCCGGCCTGGCCCGGCACGGCACGGCAGGTCTCACTCTGTTTCCTCCTTCCTCAGGAGCGCTGCAAGCAGGGCGAAGCTCTGCTGAGCCGGCTGGAGCACTGGGGCGACGTCTCTAATCCAGACCTGCACACCTACGAGGTCAAAGTTCACTCCTTCTGGGCCCAGCTGCAGGACTTCTCCCAGCGGATTAAAAGCACCGAGCAGAACATGGAGCGGGCCGTGCAGCTGTACCGCTTCCTGGACCAGGTACTGATCCAACTGCTGCTGTTTCATTTACAGCACCAATAATAAAAATACTACCATTATATTATATTATATCAATTTATTTTGAAAAATAAAAGGAAAATGTTTAGGTTTGGTCCAGGAGACCTGCTGTGGGTTCAGTCTGACTGCAGAGCTTCACCTGATCACAGTGAGGAGCCTCTGTGGTTCCGGAGTGAGTTTGGGTTCATCTGGTCGGTGGTTTTATTGTCCTGCTGCTGACCTGGTTCTGCAGAACCTCAGCATATATTGGATCTCCGGTTGAGTGGACCCAGCCTCCCGTTCTGAATCCTTTCCAGCGGTTCAGATCCTCTCGTCTCAAACACGGTTTCACTCTAAAACTTGCCGTACGAACAAATTTAGAAAAGTGCAGCTGCTGCTCCGCCGTCGCCTCCCAAAAACATCTTAATGAGTATAAATACCCGGAGGTCTTATGGATCTAAATGTCTAAACGTTTATCCTGAACACAGGAAGCAGAGCAGAAGGTACATTTACAGGGTAGAGATGCTTTCTGTCCACAAGGCGGGCCAGCTGGACCGGAACCGGTACCTGCTTCAAGTTCTGCTCACAGCTCCAGGATGATCAGTCTGGATTCATCTAAATAAACCAGCAGATCAATACGATCTCTGATCAATGGCTCCATGTTCTCCATCAGAGCCACAGATCCTCAGGTAGCAGCTCACCTTGATGCAGCTACTGATGCAGCTGCTGATGCAGCTACTGATGCAGCTACTGATGCAGCTACTGATGCAGCTGCTGATGTAGCTACTGATGTAGCTACTGATGCAGCTACTGATGTAGCTACTGATGCAGCTCACCTTGATGCAGCTACTGATGCAGCTGCTGATGCAGCTACTGATGCAGCTGCTGATGCAGCTACTGATGCAGCTGCTGATGCAGCTACTGATGCAGCTGCTGATGCAGCTACTGATGCAGCTGCTGATGTAGCTGCTGATGCAGCTACTGATGCAGCTACTGATGCAGCTACTGATGCAGCTACTGATGCAGCTCACCTTGATGCAGCTACTGATGCAGCTACTGATGCAGCTGCTGATGCAGCTACTGATGCAGCTGCTGATGCAGCTACTGATGCAGCTGCTGATGCAGCTACTGATGCAGCTGCTGATGCAGCTCACCTTGATGCAGCTACTGATGCAGCTGCTGATGCAGCTACTGATGCAGCTCACCTTGATGCAGCTACTGATGCAGCTACTGATGCAGCTGCTGATGCAGCTACTGATGTAGCTGCTGATGCAGCTACTGATGCAGCTACTGATGCAGCTACTGATGTAGCTGCTGATGTAGCTACTGATGCAGCTGCTGATGCAGCTACTGATGCAGCTACTGATGCAGCTACTGATGTAGCTGCTGATGTAGCTACTGATGCAGCTGCTGATGCAGCTGCTGATGCAGCTACTGATGCAGCTACTGATGCAGCTGCTGATGTAGCTGCTGATGTAGCTACTGATGCAGCTACTGATGTAGCTGCTGATGCAGCTACTGATGCAGCTACTGATGCAGCTACATCAGTAGCTGCTGATGTAGCTACTGATGCAGCTGCTGATGCAGCTGCTGATGCAGCTACTGATGCAGCTACTGATGCAGCTGCTGATGTAGCTGCTGATGTAGCTACTGATGCAGCTACTGATGTAGCTGCTGATGCAGCTACTGATGCAGCTACTGATGCAGCTGCTGATGTAGCTACTGATGCAGCTGCTGATGCAGCTACTGATGCAGCTGCTGATGTAGCTACTGATGCAGCTACTGATGCAGCTACTGATGCAGCTGCTGATGCAGCTACTGATGTAGCTGCTGATGCAGCTGCTGATGCAGCTGCTGATGTAGCTACTGATGCAGCTGCTGATGCAGCTACTGATGCTGCTGCTGATGCAGCTACTGATGTAGCTGCTGATGTAGCTACTGATGCAGCTGCTGATGCAGCTGCTGATGCAGCTACTGATGCAGCTACTGATGCAGCTGCTGATGTAGCTGCTGATGCAGCTACTGATGCAGCTCACCTTGATGCAGCTACTGATGCAGCTGCTGATGTAGCTGCTGATGCAGCTACTGATGCAGCTGCTGATGCAGCTACTGATGCAGCTGCTGATGCAGCTGCTGATGCAGCTACTGATGCAGCTCACCTTGATGCAGCTGCTGATGCAGCTACTGATGTAGCTGCTGATGCAGCTGCTGATGTAGCTGCTGATGCAGCTACTGATGTAGCTGCTGATGCAGCTGCTGATGCAGCTGCTGATGTAGCTGCTGATGCAGCTGCTGATGCAGCTACTGATGCAGCTGCTGATGTAGCTACTGATGCAGCTACTGATGCAGCTACTGATGCAGCTGCTGATGTAGCTGCTGATGCAGCTACTGATGTAGCTGCTGATGCAGCTACTGATGCAGCTACTGATGTAGCTACTGATGCAGCTACTGATGTAGCTGCTGATGCAGCTACTGATGCAGCTGCTGATGCAGCTACTGATGCAGCTGCTGATGCAGCTGCTGATGCAGCTGCTGATGCAGCTGCTGATGCAGCTGCTGATGCAGCTACTGATGCAGCTGCTGATGCAGCTACTGATGCAGCTGCTGATGTAGCTGATGCAGCTACTGATGCAGCTGCTGATGCAGCTACTGATGTAGCTGCTGATGCAGCTACTGATGCAGCTACTGATGCAGCTACTGATGTAGCTGCTGATGTAGCTACTGATGCAGCTGCTGATGTAGCTGCTGATGCAGCTACTGATGCAGCTGCTGATGCAGCTGCTGATGCAGCTACTGATGTAGCTGCTGATGTAGCTACTGATGCAGCTACTGATGCAGCTGCTGATGCAGCTACTGATGCAGCTGCTGATGCAGCTACTGATGCAGCTACTGATGTAGCTGCTGATGTAGCTACTGATGCAGCTGCTGATGCAGCTACTGATGCAGCTACTGATGCAGCTGCTGATGTAGCTGCTGATGCAGCTACTGATGCAGCTCACCTTGATGCAGCTACTGATGCAGCTGCTGATGTAGCTGCTGATGCAGCTACTGATGCAGCTCACCTTGATGCAGCTACTGATGCAGCTGCTGATGCAGCTACTGATGCAGCTGCTGATGTAGCTGCTGATGCAGCTACTGATGTAGCTACTGATGCAGCTACTGATGCAGCTGCTGATGTAGCTACTGATGCAGCTACTGATGCAGCTACTGATGCAGCTGCTGATGCAGCTACTGATGCAGCTGCTGATGTAGCTGCTGATGCAGCTACTGATGTAGCTACTGATGCAGCTACTGATGCAGCTACTGATGTAGCTACTGATGCAGCTCACCTTGATGCAGCTACTGATGCAGCTGCTGATGTAGCTGCTGATGCAGCTACTGATGCAGCTCACCTTGATGCAGTTACTGATGCAGCTGCTGATGTAGCTTCTGATGCAGCTGCTGATGCAGCTGCTGATGCAGCTGCTGATGTAGCTGCTGATGCAGCTGCTGATGCAGCTACTGATGCAGCTGCTGATGTAGCTACTGATGCAGCTACTGATGCAGCTCCTGATGCAGCTGCTGATGCAGCTACTGATGCAGCTGCTGATGTAGCTGCTGATGCAGCTACTGATGTAGCTACTGATGCAGCTGCTGATGCAGCTACTGATGCAGCTACTGATGCAGCTACTGATGTAGCTGCTGATGTAGCTCCTGATGCAGCTGCTGATGCAGCTACTGATGCAGCTGCTGATGTAGCTGCTGATGCAGCTGCTGATGTAGCTACTGATGCAGCTACTGATGTAGCTGCTGATGTAGCTCCTGATGCAGCTGCTGATGCAGCTACTGATGCAGGTGCTGATGTAGCTGCTGATGCAGCTGCTGATGTAGCTACTGATGCAGCTACTGATGCAGCTCCTGATGCAGCTACTGATGCAGCTACTGATGTAGCTACTGATGCAGCTACTGATGCAGCTACTGATGTAGCTACTGATGTAGCTACTGATGCAGCTACTGATGTAGCTGCTGATGTAGCTACTGATGCAGCTACTGATGCAGCTGCTGATGCAGCTACTGATGCAGCTGCTGATGTAGCTGCTGATGCAGCTACTGATGCAGCTACTGATGTAGCTACTGATGTAGCTACTGATGCAGCTACTGATGTAGCTGCTGATGTAGCTACTGATGCAGCTACTGATGCAGCTGCTGATGCAGCTACTGATGCAGCTGCTGATGTAGCTGCTGATGCAGCTGCTGATGCAGCTACTGATGTAGCTACTGATGCAGCTACTGATGCAGCTACTGATGTAGCTACTGATGCAGCTACTGATGCAGCTACTGATGTAGCTACTGATGCAGCTCACCTTGATGCAGCTACTGATGCAGCTGCTGATGTAGCTGCTGATGCAGCTACTGATGCAGCTCACCTTGATGCAGTTACTGATGCAGCTGCTGATGCAGCTACTGATGCAGCTGCTGATGTAGCTGCTGATGCAGCTACTGATGCAGCTGCTGATGCAGCTACTGATGCAGCTGCTGATGTAGCTGCTGATGCAGCTACTGATGCAGCTACTGATGTAGCTGCTGATGCAGCTGCTGATGCAGCTGCTGATGTAGCTGCTGATGCAGCTGCTGATGCAGCTACTGATGCAGCTGCTGATGTAGCTACTGATGCAGCTACTGATGCAGCTCCTGATGCAGCTGCTGATGCAGCTACTGATGCAGCTGCTGATGTAGCTGCTGATGCAGCTACTGATGTAGCTACTGATGCAGCTGCTGATGCAGCTACTGATGCAGCTACTGATGCAGCTACTGATGTAGCTGCTGATGTAGCTCCTGATGCAGCTGCTGATGCAGCTACTGATGCAGCTGCTGATGTAGCTGCTGATGCAGCTGCTGATGTAGCTACTGATGTAGCTGCTGATGTAGCTCCTGATGCAGCTGCTGATGCAGCTACTGATGCAGGTGCTGATGTAGCTGCTGATGCAGCTGCTGATGTAGCTACTGATGCAGCTACTGATGCAGCTCCTGATGCAGCTACTGATGCAGCTACTGATGTAGCTACTGATGTAGCTACTGATGCAGCTACTGATGCAGCTACTGATGCAGCTACTGATGTAGCTGCTGATGTAGCTACTGATGCAGCTACTGATGCAGCTGCTGATGCAGCTACTGATGCAGCTGCTGATGTAGCTGCTGATGCAGCTGCTGATGCAGCTACTGATGTAGCTACTGATGCAGCTACTGATGCAGCTACTGATGTAGCTACTGATGCAGCTCACCTTGATGCAGCTACTGATGCAGCTGCTGATGTAGCTGCTGATGCAGCTACTGATGCAGCTCACCTTGATGCAGTTACTGATGCAGCTGCTGATGCAGCTACTGATGCAGCTGCTGATGTAGCTGCTGATGCAGCTACTGATGCAGCTGCTGATGCAGCTACTGATGCAGCTGCTGATGTAGCTGCTGATGCAGCTACTGATGCAGCTACTGATGTAGCTGCTGATGCAGCTGCTGATGTAGCTGCTGATGCAGCTGACTGATAGCTTCTGATGCAGCTGCTGATGCAGCTGCTGATGCAGCTGCTGATGTAGCTGCTGATGCAGCTGCTGATGCAGCTACTGATGCAGCTGCTGATGTAGCTACTGATGCAGCTACTGATGCAGCTCCTGATGCAGCTGCTGATGCAGCTACTGATGCAGCTGCTGATGTAGCTGCTGATGCAGCTACTGATGTAGCTACTGATGCAGCTGCTGATGCAGCTACTGATGCAGCTACTGATGTAGCTGCTGATGTAGCTCCTGATGCAGCTGCTGATGCAGCTACTGATGCAGCTGCTGATGTAGCTGCTGATGCAGCTGCTGATGTAGCTACTGATGCAGCTACTGATGTAGCTGCTGATGTAGCTCCTGATGCAGCTGCTGATGCAGCTGCTGATGCAGCTACTGATGCAGCTGCTGATGCAGCTACTGATGTAGCTGCTGATGCAGCTACTGATGCAGCTGCTGATGCAGCTACTGATGCAGCTGAGACTAATGATCACCATCAATAATCAAACCTATTGATCAGCCTTGTTTTCTCATCAGCCGTAGATTCATTCAGACAAATCTTTTTGTCTTTATGAGACAAACTGAGCTAAATTATTATTTTGGGTGTAAATAATAATTTACGCCTGCCGCCCGGCTCTTTGGTACCGGCCCGGTTGGGTTGGCGTTTCGTGTGACCCATTGACCCGGTGTAGAATCAGACCAGTCAGCAGTGCAACTGGTCTGGTGTCCAGCAGGGGGCAGCACCTGTTTCAGGCTGAGGGAGTGGATGATGACATCATATCCTCTCTCTGCAGGCCTACGGCTGGGCGCTGGAGGGCCTTCGCCAGCTGGCCTGCGTCTCCATGGAGGACTGCACGACGCCGGACAAATGCTGTGCTGTGATTGGCTGCCTGGAAGACTACTGGTCAAAGCACCCTCCAATCCCAGAGAGACGCTTCCAGGAGATGAAGGCGGAGGCGGAGCTGCTGAGGGGGAGCGCGGCCTCCGCCAGTGGAGCTTCGCCTGGTCCAAGTGTCAGGAGACGGAGAACACGTTTGACAGGAAGATGGAGGCGGCGCTCCGGACTCGGGACTCCGCCCACCGTTGCCGCACCGACTCTGTCGTCAGCACAAGCTCCGCCTCCTCCAGGAAGTCCACCCTGTGGGGAATCCTTGATGTGTCGCCGCCCACCCTGCAGCGCACACCGTTCCTGCGGCGCCTCCTGCGGAGCTCCTCCTCCTTCGAAGAGTCGGTGCGGCCGGACGTCTGCTCCCCCGGCTTGTTCCCGCCCTCCTCCTCCTTTTCCTCCTCCTCTTCCTCCAGGAGGCAGCTGCTGAGGAAGACCCAGAGCTTCGACCGCCCGGCCTCACCCGACCCGTCGCGCTGCGGCGCCAGCCCCCGCACCCTCAGCGAGCCGCCACGCAGAGGAAACACGGGCGTGTTCATCCGCGGCCTGGAGGTCAGCAGCACGGAGGCAGCGGACCGGACGCTCCATCCCAGAACCCCGGGGCAGAACTGGGCGGGTCCACGGAGCCCTGGGACAGCAGGGGGCGCCGCAGGGGGCGGCCGACCCAGAGGAAGGTGGGTCAGCCATCATCATCAACCTGCCGCAGGATGATGATGACGTTAATGTGTTCAGACTGTGATAATGGCGCTCCATCCTGTGTGCAGTAAACTGCGGCACATCGTGGAGGAGATGGTGACCACGGAGCGCGAGTACGTCCGCTCGCTGCGTTACATCATCCATCACTACTTCCCAGAGATGGAGCGCGCCGACCTTCCTCAGGACCTCAGAGGGAAACGCTCCGTCATCTTCGGCAACCTGGAGAAGCTGCTGGACTTCCACAGCCAGTTCTTCCTCAGGGAGCTGGAGGCCTGCTGGAAGCACCCACTGAGGGCGCCACACTGCTTCCTCAGACACGTACGCATGTTCCCTTATGCCTCGGCGCTCAGGCTATGCTAGAGACCGACTACCACCATTGTTTAATGAGTGAGATCTGAAAAGTGCATCTGGACTCAAACCCTTTCTAGGGTTTGAGTCTCACCTCATCATGGCTAGTCAGCAGGTGTTCCCCAGGTAACCGGGTGTGTGCGTGTGTGTGTGTGTGCGTGTGTGTGTGTGTGTGTGCGTGTGTGTGTGCGTGTGCGTGTGTGTGTGTGTGTGCGTGTGTGTGTGTGCCTGTGTGTGTGTGTGTGCGTGTGTGTGTGTGTGTGCCTGTGTGCGTGTGTGTGCGTGCGTGCGTGTGTGTGTGTGCCTGTGTGTGTGTGTGTGTGTGTGCCTGTGTGCGTGTGTGTGTGTGTGTGTGCGTGTGTGTGTGTGTGTGTGTGTGTGTTTCTGGGAGCAGCAGGAGCAGTTCAGCCTCTACGCTCTCTACAGTAAGAACAAACCCAAATCCGATGCACTGCTGGTAAACCACGGCCAGGCCTTCTTCAGGGTGAGTCCTGCTGCTTTTGTCTGACCTCTGACCTCAGTCGGCTTCCTGACCTCTGACCCTTGCCTACAGAGGAAGCAGCTGGAGCTGGGCGATAAGATGGACCTGTCGTCCTACCTGCTGAAGCCCGTCCAGAGGATGAGTAAATATGCCCTGCTGCTCTCTGACCTCACCAAGGAGGTGGGCGGGGCTCAGGAGGCGGAGCTTGCCGCGCTGCAAGACGCCACCAACATGGTCAAGTTCCAGCTTCGCCACGGCAATGACCTGCTGGCCATGGACGCCATCAGGGAATGCGATGTGAGTCGAGGTGTTTCTGCAGGCAACAGATGACCTTTGACCTGCAGCAGGAGCGATGTCTGCAGAACTCTGACCAGATGAATCCAATTTTATTGTTCTTCTGATGTCAGAAACACTTAGAATCCAGTTTATAGCACCGTTCATGCAAATGGTCGTTTACTCACCTTGAAATTATGTCGACGTCACAAACGCAACGCAGAGACGGCATTCTGCAGCAGCAGCCATGTTGATGGCATCCCAGCTGAGCGCATTGTTGTGCAGAGTTGGAAGCAAAGCTGAACAAAAGTTTAATTTGATAATATTTATTAATGTGCTGTGAGGATCGACAGTAAAAGGAAACGAACCGCCGCAGCTTACGTCTGATCCTGATGGGAAGTTTAATGAACAGAAACGAAAGCAGAGACACTAAATCAGTCAGTATCATTTTTTGTTTTAGATCGTGTTGTGAGTCTGTTTATTTCAGCCGGAGGTTGGATAGAATCAGGGAAAATATTTTTTATTTAATTAGCAGTTATTTCTTTTCTCAGCGGTCCTGCTGTGAGTTGTTCCATCAGTAGATGGCAGCACTGAGCCCCATGTGAGCTGGTTCTGCTCTCCCTGCAGGTGAACCTGAAGGAGCAGGGTCAGCTGATCCGGCAGGACGAGTTCACGGTCTGGAGCAGCAGGAGGAAATGCCAGCGCCGCATCTTCCTGTTCGAGGATCTGCTTCTGTTCAGCAAGCCCAAGAAGATGGAGGGCGGGCTGGACGTCTTCATCTACAAGCACTCCTTCAAGGTGAGCCACGCCACGTTCTGATCGACCTGCTGTGAGCTCCGGTTCTGATTGGACCCCATCCTCTTTCAGACGGCGGACGTTGGCCTGACGGAGTCCAGCGGGAACGACGGGCTCCGCTTCGAGATCTGGTTCCGGAGGAGAACCGCCAAGAACCAGACCTTCGTCCTGCAGGCCGCCTCGGCCGACATCAAGCACGCCTGGACCGCCGACGTCGCCCGCATCCTGTGGAGCCAGGCGGCCCGCAACAAAGGTGCAGGCTGCCACCACCGTGCAGAGACACACAGGCACAGGCCACGGCCAGGCAGTTAACGAAGTGATGTGTGTCCCTGTGTGTGTCCCTGTGTGTGTGTCCCTGTGTGTGTCTCTGTGTGTCCCTGTGTGTCCCTGTGTGTCTCTGTGTGTGTCTCTGTGTGTCTCTGTGTGTCCTGTGTGTCTCTGTGTGTGTCTCTGTGTGTCCCTGTGTGTGTCCCTGTGTGTGTCCCTGTGTGTCTCTGTGTGTCTCTGTGTGTCCCTGTGTGTCCCTGTGTGTGTCTCTGTGTGTCCCTGTGTGTGTCTCTGTGTGTCCCTGTGTGTGTCCCTGTGTGTCTCTGTGTGTCCCTGTGTGTGTCCCTGTGTGTGTCTCTGTGTGTCCCTGTGTGTGTCTCTGTGTGTCCCTGTGTGTGTCCCTGTGTGTCTCTGTGTGTCTCTGTGTGTCCCTGTGTGTGTCCCTGTGTGTGTCCCTGTGTGTCTCTGTGTGTGTCCAGAGATGCGTCTGAAGGAGATGGTGTCCATGGGAGTGGGGAACAAACCGTTTCTGGACATCCAGCCGAGCGACGCCGCCATCAGCGACCGGGCCGTCCATTACATCATGAAGCCCAGAGGTAGGGCCGGGTTCCCAAGGCAACAGCATGCTGAGATCAGAACGTCGGTCGGTTCTGACCCGTTCGGTTCTGACCCGTTCGGTTCTGACCCGTTCGGTTCTGACCCGTTCGGTTCTGACCCGTTCGGTTCTGACCCGTTCGGTTGTGACCCGTTCGGTTCTGACCCGTTCGGTTCTGACCCGTTCGGTTCTGACCCGTTCGGTTCTGCTCCTTCCAGGCGCCAGAACCAGGGCGTCCATCGCCGTGGCGACCTTTGACCACTCCCACCCGTTCGGCAGGGCGGCGGCCTCGGAAGCGGCGGCATCAGGACCGTCATCCTGCACTCTGCTGGGACCGCTCAACCTGCACATGTTCAGGTAGGAATCGCACCTGGAGCTCCTGAAGCCCCGCCCCCTCTCCTGCTCACCTGTCCTTCCTCCTGCAGCCCCGCCGCCTCCTCGGCCGACGCCTCTTTCAGCTCCTCCTGCATCGAGGAAGACGAGCAGGAGACCAGCAGCCAGCCCTCCATGAGTATGAGCTTTGACCGCTGTAGCTCCGCCTCCTGGAGCTCACCTGGTCAGGTGAGTGAGTAACCGTGTCCCGGTGTGTCTACAGCCACCGAGAGCTCCGGCTCCTCGTCCCGCTGCCTCTCTGGCTCCACCGGCTCCGACAGCGGCTGCGCCTCCTCCCACCTGCGGGACGAGCCCCGCCCCTCCTCCGGAAAACGCCACGGCAACGGCGCCTTCATCTCGGCTGTAAGTCAGCTCGTTTCTGATTGGTCAGGGCATGATGATGTCATCAGCTGCTGTGGTCACATGGTCTCTGCTCCTCCTCAGGAAGCTGCCACCGTCGTCTGACGCCGCTTCGCAGGCTAGTCCTCTGCTTTTATTTTGAAGGCTGAAAGAGGAAGTTGTTGCTGTGGTTACTGGGCTGCGATCTGTCTGCAGGTCTGGCGCTTCCCGGAGGAACGTTGGTTCTACTTCCTGTAAATATTCCTGTTCAGCCCGGTCAGCAGGTTCCTTCGGAACCGGCCCGGCGGTCCGACTGTACATGTGTGTAAATATTCCTCAGCTGAACGTTGCTGACTCTTTTCTAACCTCACTAATAAACACGTTTGATGAAAAGCTCGGCAGCGTTTGTTCTGACCCGTTCTGGTTCTACTGGACCCCAGTGGTACCGGGATCCAGCAATCAGCCGGTTCTGGAATCCGCACCACAGATGAGCCGTGTGACCCTGATGAAACTTTACGCTGAGCGTCTCTGAAACAACCGGGTCGGGTTTCAGGTTCTGCTCTGAGGACGACCTCTGACCTCCACTGTCTGGCTGATCAGAACCACAGTGTTTGTTCAGTTCTCTCAAACAGAACTTTGATCCAATCAGGCCCAGCTCTTCATCATCATCATCTGACACCAGGAGACACTTCAATACAAAACAAGTTTATTTATAAAATCCTTCATGTTACAATACAGTTAGAGGCTTTTAATCTGAAAGTCAGGTACAAAAATAAACTCGAGGAACTTTGGACACAGCCGGGTTCTCCGGATCAGTTGCATAGCCGGTTCCGGTTGGGTTCTGCTGACCTCAGACCAGCTGACGGGTCAGAACCTCCTCATGTAAACCGATTCTCCACAGGAAGCTGAAACATTTCAAGTTTCACTGAAAACTGCAGCACTTCCTGTCCTGAGACAACTGAAGACAGAAAACTTCAAAATAAAAGCATGAAAACAAACCGAAGCTGCTTTGAAATGAAACCCTCATGCTCACAGCTGCCATTTTTAAATCAAACATGGCCGCCCTGCTGACCTTCCTGGAAACGGCTTTAAAGGGACGGTTCACACTTTGTCCTTCAGTGTTCGAACGCGCTCAGTTTGAACAATCAGCAGGAACACAACGAGCTGGACGAAACTCCTCGGCCTAGTCAAAGCCCAGATACTGAGCTCTTGCAGATGCTGTGGAGTGACAGGAAGTGATGAGGGGACAGTGACTCTGAGATGGAGACAGGAAGCTTCTCCTGAAGGGATTTTATCCAGACAGACCTGATGTTGGGGTGTGCTAACCTTTCCCTGATTTGAACACTTTGATCTACTGATTAGTTCCTGTGTTTATTTGGACAAAATCCCTTTAAATTCTGGAGATAAATATGAAAGATTAAACATCTATAAGTGAACATGCTCTTAGAGCGAGGCGCTGGACAGCAGACAGGAAGCAACAATTTCAACTGAAACTGAGCGCGCTCAGATGACCAATCAGGAAAAGAAGGACTGTCCCTTTAAGTGTTTCTGTACATGTAAGCAAGCTCCGCCCCTAAATAAGCCCCACCTCCATCATACAGAAAATCTTTGCCAATTGCTATCACGTGTCAAGGCAGCCGCCATCATAACCTGGAAGGAGGAGGAGCCACAGTTGGTCAGGAGGCTCCGCCTACAGCAGCAAACACCTGAACACGCTCTTCTTAGAGAGCGGATCTGAGATCTTCACCTGGCCACCTCCACCTGCCGGGCTCCCCTCGTTCTGCAGAGAAAACAGAATGTCACGGAGGACTGGAAATACCTGGAAATACCTGGAAACACCTGGAAACACCCGGATGTTCGGTCGACTCACCATCTTCCTGTTGAGGCGGCTCATGATGTCTCTGGCGAGAGTCAGGAAGCCCTGAGGAGACGAACCCAACGTTTTCCACAGGTTCATTTAACCACAATCAATGAATCGGTTCCAGTCGGGTCGAGTTCTACAGCAGAACCAGGAACCCGACCGGAACCCGGTTGGGTCTGGACTCACCTCCTCCACATTGATGCTGGACTTGGCGCTGGTTTCCAGGAACTTGATCCCGTAGTCGATGGCGAGCTGAAGGACAACAGAACCACATGTTCAGAACATCACCGGACCTATTGGGTTTGGATCCAGTCATGTGACCAGGAAGCTCCGCCCACCTTCTCTCCTCTCTCTTTGGACACCTGCCTCTTGTCGTTCATGTCGCACTTGTTTCCCAGGATCATCTTCTCCACGTCCGCCGACGCGTGCTGCAACACAAATATGGGCGGGTGGTCGAACTGATCGATGACATCATCAGCGGCAGGGCAGAGCCTACCTCCTCGATGTTGCGTATCCAGTTCCTGATGTTGTCGAAGGATTTCTCGTTGGTGATGTCGTACACCAGCATGATGCCCTGCCGCGAAAAACAGGAAGTGACACGCTGCACCGACCAATGGAAAGGGGAGGGGGCGTGGCCTACCATGGCGCCTCGGTAGTAGGCAGTGGTGATGGTCCGGAAGCGCTCCTGACCCGCCGTGTCCCTGGGACAGAACCCGACCCGGGATTAATACGGGTTAGTGATTCCGAACAGATTCTAGTTCACTTAACTGATCCACAAACAATGAATCAGTAGAAATCCAGAACCAGTTGCTTGGTTCCTGGTTCCGGATCAACTTTCTCTGATCCAGAACCAGAGAAAGTTCTCCCAGACCGGTTCCAGACCGGCTCTCACCAGATCTGCAGTTTGATCTTCTTCCCGTCCAGCTCCACGGTCCGAATTTTAAAATCGATTCCTGAAACAGAGGCGGCACCATGAGTCAGGTGTGTCAAACTGAAGGTCTAGGGCCAAATCCGGCCGACCTGTAACCGACCTGAGGCCCTTCACACCCAAAAGGACAGAATCAGAACTTCATCCTAACAGCTGCGTGATCAGACATCTGATGTTAAGCATTTAATCTGAATTTAATCTCAGGAACAGTTCTGCTCCGCCCGCCTGGCAGCTGGAGGTGCATAAAACAAACCTCCCTCGGCTATTTTTAAAACACAAACGTGACCAAACATCACTTCCTGCCTCAGACGAGGAACTTCCTGCTCCTGCAGGTCCCATGACTGAAACCAGAACCGACACCAGAACCTGCTCTGTTCATCATCTGGGTCACAAAGAAAAAAATGGTTCTGCAGAGATCCACCAGAACCGGTCAGAACTTCTGAGACCCACTGCGGGCCCGGTTCTAGTTCTGAATGGTTTCTGTTCCGGTTATGTGACGGTCCAGCTTCCTGTCACATGACCTGCAGAAACCAGTTGATCCAGAACCGCTTTGATCCGGTTTAATCTGAGCCGGGTTCTTGCTCCGCCTCTGAACAGGAAGTGAAACTGAGCCGCTTCCTGTCTGTATCTCTTAGCACGGCTGAATATGGTTTTGATCTGATTCTGTTTTGTATCAAGGTTCTGACCCAATTCAGGGTTCCCTACAGAACTGGTTCTAGTCTTTGTTGAATGTTTGTGTTCAGAACCAACCGGGTCTGGATCAGCACCAAGTTGTTGAACCCGGTTCTGCTGAACCAGAACCCTGTGGGAAAATTATTCACGCCCTCTGATTAACACCACTGGACCGGTTCTGACCCGATGGAGTCCAGACTTTGACTAGGCCACTCTGAAATCTTCATTTTAATGCTGGTGGGTTCTGGAAGTTCAGCTTCGGGAGGTTCTGATCTGGTTCCATCGGGTCCAAAAGTCCACATCACCATACCACCCTGATGGACTGCAGGTTCTGCTCCAGATGGAACAGCACCAGAACCACCAGGACGGTTCTGGTTGATGTGAAACGGGTCTTTGTGTTCTTCTGGATCTCTGGTGACCTTTGACCATAGCTGCAGAACTTCAGATGTTCTGGTTCTGGTTCTTCTGGACCTCCTAGACAAGTTTCTGTCAGCCTGCTTGGTACTGCCAGTCTGGTTCTGGTACTGGTCCTGGTTCCGGTTGGTTTGGGTCAGCTTCTGTTACTTCTAGTTGTTTTTGTCTCTTTTTACATTTTTAATTTGAAGAACCTTGAGAACCCAGAGACGGGCCCACCGAGCCTCCCAGAACCACAACATGACGATTCTTTTCAGGCATGATGAACTGAACTGGTTCAGGAGAACCGTTCCAGAACCGGTTCAGTTCATCTGTCTGATCAGAACATCCTGATGGTGATGAAGCTGAACATCATCACCATCAGGACTGGTGGGACGCAGGTGGACTGACGTCACAGAGCCGGACCGGACCGGACTCACCGATGGTGGAGATGAAGGTGGCGTTGAAGGCGTCCTCGCTGAAGCGGAACAGCAGGCAGGTTTTGCCCACGCCGCTGTCTCCGATCAGCAGCAGCTTGAACAGGTAGTCGTAGCTCTTCGCCATGTTCCGGTTCGGTTCGGCTCCGGTCCGGATGGGCCCGGCTCTGCTCCGCGAACCTCTGCTGGACCCGCTCAGATGGACCGACAGAGAAGCAGGAAACGGTTCGGGATCAAGTGTTCCGACAGCAGACCGGATCCACTTCCGCTTCTCTCATTTCAAAATAAAACAGTCATTTGCTGAGCTGTGCTGGCTCCGACCCGCCTGGAAGTGGACCAGAACCGACAGGTCTTGTGCGAAATTCGGTTCCCCTGTGAAAATCTGTTCCCTGCGTCGGGAGCGCGCATTACAGCCAGAGAGGCGAAAGAGGATCTGATCATTTTCACGTCGCTTCTGATCGATTTCTCGGTAAAAACCAACTAATACAACCATGTCAATGTTGTAACACTCAGTTTAATTTGCAGCTGTTGTTTAAAAAAATTGTAAAATAAATAAATAAACGAGGTCTTCTGACGCTGTTTTGTGTTATTGTAAACACCAAGAGAATCGCTCTTTCTCACGTAAGCCTGGCAGAAATAAAAGTCAGTCACCAAACACAGTTTTCCCAACACGTAGTGTGTATGTAAAGGTTTTTGTGAATTTGGAAACAGTTGTTCTTTATTCCCCAAGGTTATGGAGTAAGGAGAGGAAATAATGGATGATTCAGCAGCTTGAAATAATCTGTTCCCCCTCCATAAAATGGGAACAAATTATTTTACCTGCAAATGCTTAACTGTGCTTGTTCCTCTCATCATCAACAATAAATACTGTGATTTTGGTAGCATTTGCTCCTTTTTTGCCAGAATTATGGGGGGAACCAAATATTTTAGCAGTTTTACCTGACTGAAATTATCCGTTCCCCTCAAAAACATGGAAACAAATGTATTTATCAACAGTAATCATCAACAGCAAAACTGGCTGTTGGCAAACAGCAAGTTTGAAAACATTTCATCACTATTTGCTCCATCACCATCTCCACCTGCTGCAGCACCTCCACCTGCTGCAGCACCTCCCCCTGCTCCATCACCGTCTTCCTCTTATTTTAATAAAAGGAATAATTTCAGTATCATTTTGTTTTAATAATATACTGAAATTATTCCTTTTATTAAAATAAGATGAAAGCATATCAGTACAAAGACATAAAGTCTTTGTGAGACATATATGTATGATAAAAACTGAAATGCATGTGCATTGATATATATTTATAAGAATTGGAAATCAAATTTACATTTCTCAGCTTGAGTTTTTTTCTGCTGGACAGGAGTCAATGGCAGAGCAGAGGAAGACGGTGATGGACCAGGAGGCGGGGATGGAGTCGGTGGAGGGACTGGAGCAGGTGGAGGTGCTGCAGCAGGTGGAGGTGCTGCAGCAGGTGGAGATGGTGATGGAGCAAATAGTGATGAAATGTTTTCAAACTTGCTGTTTGCCAACAGCCAGTTTGCTGTTGATGATTACTGTTGATAAATACATTTGTTTCCATGTTTTTGAGGGGGAACGGATAATTTCAGTCAGGTAAAACAGCTAAAATATTTGGTTCCCCCCCATAATTCTGGCAAAAAAGAGCAAATGCTACCAAAATCACAGTATTTATTGTTGATGATGAGAAGAATAAGCACAGTTAAGCATTTGCAGGTAAAATAATTTGTTCCCATTTTATGGAGTGGGAACAGAATATTTCAGGCTGCTGAATCATCCATTATTTCCTCTTCTTACTCCATAACCTTGGGGAATAAAGAACAAACTGTTTCCAAATTCACAAAAACCTTTACATACACACTACGTGTTGGGAAAACTGTGTTTGGTGACTGACTTTTATTTCTGCCAGACTTACGTGAGAAAAGAGCGATTCTCTTGGTGTTTACAATAACACAAAACAGCGTCAGAAGACCTCGTTTATTTATTTATTTTACAATTTTTTAAAACAACAGCTGCAAATTAAACTGAATGTTACAACATTGACATGGTTGTATTAGTTGTTTTTTTACCGAGAAATCGATCAGAAGCGACGTGAAAATGATCAGATCCTCTTTCGCCTCTCTGGCTGTAATGCGCGCTCCCGACGCAGGGAACAGATTTTCACAGGGGAACCGAATTTCGCACAAGACCGGCTGTCAAAGTTTACTCTCCTGCTCGGTGTCAGCAGCACACGCTGCTGCTCACATACCCATGTTTCTGTGCGGCTGTTGCCAGGCAACTGAAACTTGAACAGGAGGAGAAACGCAGACATGGCGCTGCGGGTGACGTCACCGTTTCTGGTCCACATGCGCTTCTTGTTACATCTGATCGTGTTTGGCATCAAAGCCAAAGGTTCTGCTGATTCTCATCAACATCTTCAGCCTGGTGGAGCCAAAACCCTCCAGACTCAGTGGAAAATAAAGGACCAGTCGTTTCATGCACACAATTCATTCAGTACGGAGTTTCAAAAAAACATCCACCAAGAAACTGGAGCTTGGGAAGTTCGTCTCTGGAGGATAAACTACAGATAAAAAGCATTTCACCCCGAGTCCCGTCGGTTCTGATCCAAAGCAAATGACTGTCATCGGGTTCAGAACCAAGAACGTTCTGCAAAGACCTGGACTCCTTGTTATTATCACATTTTAATGGAATGAAGTCCCTGCTGGCTCCTCTTAACCGGAACTTTTACTTTGAAGTAGGATTTCTGCTGTTTCCGGTGAATGTGCGCCAGCAGCCACAGGAAACGGGGGCGGGGTCAGATGGGGTCACGTGGACCTCAGATCTGTACTTTTGACGAAACTACTTTTCTTTTTTCATCGAATTAGTTTGATTAATAAAACTTTTGTTTTCTACTGTTGGTGATTGTTAAATAACTTAAGACGAATAAAACAATCGGAATGTAGAGTACAATGAATGTTCTGTCAAATTATATTTTATTTAGATTTAGTTTGTATTTCTATATTTTATATTGTCAGTTATTAGTATTTTAATTAAGTTGTATTAATTAAATAATTAGATTTCCTCCGTTTGTTCGTTGAACTCATTGTCAATAAAGTTGGACAAAAAAATGCTATTTTTTTTCGTCAGCGGAAGTGACGTATAGACTCGGTTGCTAAGCTGCAGTAGAGAGCAAACAGCCTGTCAACAGGCACAAGTGTGGACTCGGAACCTCCTGGATCCGGTTTAACCCGAACAGCGGTACCGCTGCGTCCCGCAGACCCAAACCGGGAGGAGGACTCGTCAGAACCGGTCCACTTTGCTCCGGTTCGACCGCTAGCTAGCAGTTGCTAACCAGCTGGTTACCCTCAGGTAGGTTTACCTGCTGGTTTCCGTTAGAGGAGCCATTGGCGCACCTGCAGTAAACCGACCAATCACGGTCCAACAGAACCGTTCGGTGATGATGTTCTGGCTCCAGAGTGGGAACAATCTGGATCAGAACCTTCCTGACCGGTTCCTGCAGAACAGTCTGGTTCTAAGCAGGAAGTCCAATGTTCACTGACCCGAACTCGAACCAGAACCAGCTGCCTGGGCAGAAATGGGCTCAGTGGCAGAACCAGAACCAGTCCGATCGTTTTAATACGATCTGGACCCGAAACATAAACATCTCTTAGCTGTGAAGAACTTCTGGATCGGGTTGAGGTCTCTAATAAACCCAGACATACAGTCTGGTTCTGTTCTGACCCGGTTCTGTTCTAGCCCGGCTCTGTTCTGACCCGGTTCTGTTCTGACCCGGTTCTGTCCTAACATCCTGCAGGAGGAAGAGGCTCCATGGACAGGTCCTCATGATTTAACTCGGAACCGTTTGTCCCAATATGGCTGCTGCCAGCAGCACCAAGATCTCGTGGCGCCTGCGTGAGTAGAACCCGGAGGAGAGTTCTGATCCGGCCCGGTCAGGATGGGTTCTAGTTCTGAAGCGTGTCGTCCTGTTTGTCCTCAGAGGAGTTCGAGGCCCACTCCAGAACCGTGTCCTGCCTGTCTCTGGGGAAGAACTCGGGCCGCCTGCTGGCCACCGGGGGCGAGGACTGCCGCGTCAACATCTGGGCCGTCAGCAAGGCCAACTGCGTCATGGTGAGACCCGGCACCTTTGGTACCAGAACCCAGCAGGTCCGGTCCGCTCCCCGACAGGGCCGTCCGAGACCAGACATCAGAACATGGTTACTGTTCTGACTGGGAGGCCCGGTTCAGGTTCTGCTGTTAACTTTACAAATGGCTCCCTGAGGGAACCATCTTGGTTCTGAGCTGCTGCTACCTCTGACCCGATCCCTGTTCTGACCCATTATCGGTTCTGACCCGTTTTTCTCTTAGAGCTTGACAGGTCATAAGAACCCGGTGGAGTGTGTCCAGTTCAGCGTGTCAGAGGAGCAGGTTGCAGCTGGTTCCCAGTCAGGATCCATTCGAGTCTGGGACTTGGAGGCCGCCAAGAGTAAGGCTACTTCCTGTCCTCCGACCCGTTACTTCCTGTCCTCCGACCCGTTACTTCCTGTCCTCCGACCCGTTACTTCCTGTCCTACGACCCGTTACTTCCTGTCCTCCGACCCGTTACTTCCTGTCCTCCGACCCGTTACTTCCTGTCCTCTGACCTGTTACTTCCTGTCCTCCGACCCGTTACTTCCTGTCCTCCGACCCGTTACTTCCTGTCCTCCAACCTGTTACCTCCTGTCCTCCGACCTGTTACTTCCTGTCCTCCGACCCGTTACTTCCTGTCCTCTGACCTGTTACTTCCTGTCCTCTGACCCTTTACTTCCTGTCCTCTGACCCGTTACTTCCTGTCCTACGACCCGTTACTTCCTGTCCTCCGACCCGTTACTTCCTGTCCTCTGACCTGTTACTTCCTGTCCTCTGACCCTTTACTTCCTGTCCTCTGACCTGTTACTTCCTGTCCTCCGACCCGTTACTTCCTGTCCTCCGACCCTTTACTTCCTGTCCTCTGACCTGTTACTTCCTGTCCTCCGACCTGTTACCTCCTGTCCTCTGACCTGTTACTTCCTGTCCTCCGACCCGTTACTTCCTGTCCTCTGACCTGTTACTTCCTGTCCTCCGACCCGTTACTTCCTGTCCTCTGACCTGTTACTTCCTGTCCTCCAACCCGTTACTTCCTGTCCTTAGTTCTGCGGACTCTGATGGGACACAAAGCGAACGTTACCGGTCTGGGCTTCCACCCGTTTGGAAACTTCCTGGCCTCCAGTTCCGTGGACACCAACATAAAGGTGTGTGTGTGTATGTGTGTGTGTGTTTCTATCTGTGTGTGTGTGTATGTGTGTGTGTGTGTTTTTGTGTGTGTGTGTGTTTCTGTGTGTGTGTGTGTGTGTGTGTGTGTTTTTGTGTGTGTGTGTGTTTCTGTGTGTGTGTGTGTGTGTGTGTGTGTGTGTTTCTGTGTGTGTGTGTGTGTGTGTGTCCTATCTGGGTATGTGTGTGTTTCTCTGTGTGTGTAATAAGTCTTGATGTGTTTTCTAGCTCTGGGACGTCCGGAGGAAAGGATACGTGTTTCGCTACAAGGTCAGATCTTCAGATCCAGATCAATAGTTCTCTGTGATCCAAGAAGTTGCATATGACCTGATCCAGAACTGCCTGGTTCTATGAAGCAACGTCAGACATTTTGATTCCCCATGTTTCCATAACTTTTTTTTATTACATTCTGAATTTACAAATTCATTATATTTTAACAGTTTATTGGGTCGGCTTTATGATACCGACTGAATAAATGAGAAATATTTACAAAACATAACAAGACAAGAACTTATTAGGCTGAATAGAAATAATAAGATAAATGATGTCTTAAAGTTTCCAGTTCAGCTGCTTTAAGGAAGATTAAAACATTTCTCCATGAAGTGATTTAATTAACGGAGTTTATTATCATAATGTTTTTTTTGTTATAATCTTCATAGGTCATCAGTGAAACTTTAAAAGTTTATCCAGTTTTAAAGTTTAAACGAAACCACAGAAAGTGGCTTTCAGGTCCCACACCGGACTCTTTCTGGACCGACTCAGGCCCTGACCCTAACCCTGACCCCTACCCTAACCTTCCTCCATCTTCAGGATGAAGAGCGGCGCCCCCTGTTGGCTGTAGGTCAAACTACAATAATAAAAAAAGTTCTTCAAACCAGCAAAAAAACATTTTAGATCCGAAAATTTTACATGACCTTTAAAATATGTTTTATAAATATATGCTTGAGTTTTAAAATGTTATGGAGAAGTAGATGGATAAGTTTGCTTCAATTTAAATTTAGGGAAAATGTAAGAAACAAAACAGTTATTTTAGATCTATTGTTTCAAATAAAACAGTATTTCTGGTATTTCTAGTCATGAAAAAGAATTTATCACATGAAAAAAGTAAAAGCAGCATTTTTATTATTTTCATTAAACTCATAATTAAACCTTTAGTTGATCCATTTAGGGCCGCAGTGGAACATCCAAAGAGCCGATTTTGGCCCCAGAGCCACAGGTTGGAGACCCCTGGACTGAACACACCTGATTAGACTTTAATTCAGTCAGAACCCTAACCTGGTTCTGGATGGGTTCTGGAATCAGTGGATCAGGAAAGCTGCTGGGTCAGGTTCTGGATCGGATCGTTTGGATCAGAGTTCAAGTTCTGATAGAACCTGCTGTGGCTCTGGATCAGAACAGTCAGAGGTTCTGCTGTTTAGTGGTTCTGTGCTCCAGAACCGGGTTCTGTCTGATGTCGGCTCGGTTCTACAGGGTCACACAGAGGCTGTGAGGAGTTTGGCCTTCAGTCCGGACGGGAAGTGGTTAGCTTCAGCTAGCGACGACTGCACCGTGAAGGTAAACATCGACCCAGAACCCATCAGAACCACGCTGCTGTCTGAGGAGCTGACCCAGTCCCTCAGAATCCAGCAGAACTCTGACCAGGTTCTGTCACCGTTTCAGTAACTTCAGACAGAATCGGGTCGGTTCCGCTCAGCTGGTTCTGGTTCTGTCTCTGCAGCTGTGGGACCTGTTCCAGGGGAAAACCATCACCGAGTTCAAGTCGCACTCGGCGGCCGTCAGCGCCGTCCAGTTCCATCCCAACGAGTACCTGCTGGCGTCCGGCAGCGCCGACAGGTCCGGTTCCGCTCCGCCTGCAGAACCTCTGTCAGAACCAGAAACGTGTCTCCATGGAGACCAGAGGTCAAACGTTGAAGAGGAAGAACAGATCCACTGTTGATCTGAAAAGTGTGGTGTGCTCCTGACACACATTGATGCTGCTGTGGAACTTGGCCTGTTGCGACCAGAACCAGAACCAGAACCTCCCTGACCTGCTGCTGGATCACAATAACATTCACACCACACTTTTCAGATTTTTATTTGTTAGAACTATAAATCTTTTCTTCCTCCTCATTGTTTGAGCTCCACTCTGCTGGTCCAGCATAGAGACCAGCAGAGAACGGTTCCGATCGGCCCGGTTCTGCTGGGCTGGTTCAGTCGGCTTCACTGTCCTCCCGTCTCCTGCAGGAGCATCAAGCTGTGGGACCTGGAGAAGTTCACCAGGGTGGGCTCTCTGGAGGGAGACACGTCGGCCGTGAGGTGAGTCTCTCAGTCTGGCCTCTGACCCGCCCCATACGCCGCGGTGACCTCTGACCTCTCCTCCAGGTGCCTGCTGTTCAGCCCGGACGGCTCCTGCCTTTACAGCGGCGCCTTGGACTCGCTGCGGGTTTTCGGCTGGGAACCGGATCGATGCTTCGACACGGTTCCGGTCGGCTGGGGAAAAGTGTCGGATCTGGCCGTCTGCAACCAGCAGCTGGTGAGTAGCCCCGCCCCTCCCCGGCGTAGCCCCGCCCCTCCCCATCCGGCGTCTCTAACGGCACCGTCTCTGCCCGTCCCTCAGATCGGCGTGTCCCACCAGCTGTCCAGCGTCTCGTCCTTCGTGGTGGACCTGAAGCGGGTGAAGCGGAGCGGTGGCGCCGTGATCCAAGGCATCGTCCGGGACGACCAGCCGCTCACCGATCCGGCGGAACCCAGAGCGGCGGCGCTGCGGCGCAACTACGACAGACCCGCCCCGCCTGCAGCTCCCACAGGTCGGCAGCGGGGGGCGCCGACCATCTTGGGGTGTGATGTCATGGGGTTAACGGTAGCTGTGATGTCATCAGGATGAAGCGCTCGGACACCGATAGGCGGAGCCCCGACGGAGAGAGGCGGAGCCAGAGCGAGGACGAGGCGGAGGACAAGCAGCCGTCAGCAGAGATCCACAACGCCGACGACTACAGAGAGATCTTCCAGCCCAAACACGCCATCTGTAGGTGGAGCAGAGCAATTACTCCTGGAGAGGCCACGCCCCTTCCTCTGCAGGCTCCGCCTCTCACTCCACTCACACACACCGAGTGAAGCTCTCATGTCTCTGAGTATTCATTACAATCAACTGGATATTGTGGCATCGTGTTTTCCAGACTGTAGAGCGAACCAAACCATGAACCGTTTTAAAACACTGGAAACCTGCTGACGGAAACCGCTGGTTTCTCCGCCGCTGTCGGTTTTCCACAAGGAGGCAGCAGAGGGCAGAGTCCTAATAAATCTGCTGGATCTGTGAAGGACGCAGCTCTGCGGCTCCATTTCCGTCCATATCCATAACCTGCGACTTAAAGCCGCATCATATGAGTTGAAAACATTTCTCTGGTGCCTCCTGGGTTTGCTCTAAATGAGAAGCAGCAGAGCCCCCTGGTGGTTGGATAAAAATCCACAGAAAAGCCACGGGCTACAAACCGCACGGTTCAAAACGTAGCAGCTTACAGTCAGAAAATACCTGTTCTAATTACCTGTTGCTACCTGTTGCTGACCATCCAGGTGTGTTTGTGTCTCTCAGCTCGAACTCCTCCCAGGATGTCGGAGCCGTTTCTGCTCCTCCTGAAGACGGTGAGTCTCCTCAGTACTCTGCTGCTCCTCAGTAATCTGATTACTTCCTTCCCCAGGCAGAGCCTCACATGCCCGGGTCAGGGGTCAGGAGGTGGATTCTGCTGGCCGGTTTGGTCCGATTCAGCAGGAAGAACCGAGCTGTGGTCACAGCCCTTCACAATAAAGCTGGGCTTGTTTGTAACTGTTTCCTGTTCCTGTCAGAGAGCGTGGCGGCCGTCGGCCGGCAGCTGAAGGACATGATGCTGCCGTCTCCTGACAAGCAGCAGGTCAGTGAATGCAGCATCATCTCTGCTCTGATTGGACCGCAGACATGTGACCTCGCTGCTCTCTCAGGCTCCGCCCCTCGCCACCTCCACCCCCGTCCAGAGGGTCGAACCCACAGTGGTCGCCTTCCCCAAGCCGTGTAGCTCCGCCCCCAGCAGCCAGCCTGCCCCGCCCACCAGGCCGCCGCCGTTGCCACGGGTGATCCCAAGCAGCCGCAACGAGCCGCTGGGACTCAACGTGGCCGACTTCCTGCCGGTGAGCTTCCCGTTTCCGCTGAGTCGTCAGAACTTCCTGTTGGCGCTGCTCACTGTGTCTGGCTGCAGTCCCCAGTCGGCCACCGGGGCGGCGCTCTCACCGACGATGGCGCTCTGGCACAGATTAACAAAGGTCACGACACCATGTGCGTGATGCTGAGCAGCCGCCAGCGCAACCTGCAGACGGTCCGTTCCGTCTGGACCCGCGACGACGTCAAGGTGAGCCGCCGCCCACCACAGTAATCTGATTACTTCCTGTCCTGACACTAAGGGCCGTTTGTCTGCGCAGAGCGCTCTGGACGCCGCCGTGTCCATGAACGATCTGTCCATCGTAGTGGACGTCCTGAACATCGTCAACCTGCAGCCGTGAGACACACACAGTCACACACACACACACAGTCACACACACACACAGTCACACACACAGTCACACACACACACAGTCACACACACACACACAGTCACACACACACACACACACACACACACCACACACAGTCACACACAGTCACACACACACACAGTCACACACACACAGTCACACACACACAGTCACACACACACACACACACAGTCACACACACACACAGTCACACACACAGTCACACACACACACACAGTCACACACACACACACAGTCACACACACACACAGTCACACACACACACACAGTCACACACACAGTCAGTCACACACACACAGTCACACACACAGTCACACACACACACAGTCACACACACACAGTCACACACACACAGTCACACACACACAGTCACACACACACACAGTCACACACACACAGTCACACACACACAGTCACACACACACACACAGTCACACACACACACAGTCACACACACAGTCACACACACAGTCACACACACACAGTCACACACACACACACACAGTCACACACACACAGTCACACACACACGTCCACACACACAGTCACACACACACAGTCACACACAGTCACACACACACACACACACAGTCACACACACAGTCACACACACAGTCACACACAGTCACACACATCACACACACACACAGTCACACACACAGTCACACACACACACAGTCACACACACAGTCACACACACACACAGTCACACACACACACAGTCACACACAGTCACACACACACACAGTCACACACACACAGTCACACACACACACAGTCACACACACACACAGTCACACACACAGTCACACACACACACAGTCACACACACAGTCACACACACACAGTCACACACACACACACACACAGTCACACACACAGTCACACACACACACACACACAGTCACACACACACACAGTCACACACACCACACACAGTCACACACAGTCACACACACACACACAGTCACACACACACACAGTCACACACACACACACAGTCACACACACACACACAGTCACACACACACACAGTCACACACACAGTCACACACACACACAGTCACACACACACACACAGTCACACACACACACAGTCACACACACACAGTCACACACACACAGTCACACACACACACCACAGTCACACACACAGTCACACACACACACACACACACACAGTCACACACACACACAGTCACACACACACATAGTCACACACACACACAGTCACACACACACAGTCACACACACAACACAGTCACACACACACACACAGTCACACACACACACAGTCACACACACACACACACACACACACACACAGTCACACACACAGTCACACACACAGTCACACACACAGTCACACACACACAGTCACACACACACATAGTCACACACACACAGTCACACACACACACACACAGTCACACACACACACAGTCACACACACACACAGTCACACACACACACACAGTCACACACACACAGTCACACACACACAGTCACACACACAGTCACACACACACAGTCACACACACACATAGTCACACACACACACAGTCACACACACACACAGTCACACACACACAGTCACACACACACACACAGTCACACACACACAGTCACACACACACAGTCACACACACACAGTCACACACACACACACAGTCACACACACACAGTCACACACACACACAGTCACACACACAAACACAGTCACACACACAGTCACACACACAAACACACACACACACACACAGTCACACACACACACACAGTCACACACACACAGTCACACACAGTCACACACACACACAGTCACACACACACACACAGTCACACACACACACACAGTCACACACACACACACACACACACACACACAGTCACACACACACACACAGTCACACACACACACACAGTCACACACACACACACAGTCACACACAGTCACACACACACACAGTCACACACACACACAGTCACACACACACAGTCACACACACACACACACAGTCACACACAGTCACACACACACACACACACAGTCACACACACACAGTCACACACACACACACACACACACAGTCACACACACACACAGTCACACACACAGTCACACACACACACAGTCACACACACACACAGTCACACACACACATAGTCACACACACACACAGTCACACACACACACACAGTCACACACACACAGTCACACACACACACAGTCACACACACACACAGTCACACACACACATAGTCACACACACACACAGTCACACACACACACACAGTCACACACACACACAGTCACACACACACACACAGTCACACACACACACAGTCACACACACACATAGTCACACACACACAGTCACACACACACACACAGTCACACACACACACAGTCACACACACACACAGTCACACACACACAGTCACACACACACACACAGTCACACACACACAGTCACACACACACACACAGTCACACACACACACAGTCACACACAGTCACACACACACACAGTCACACACACACAGTCACACACACACACACAGTCACACACACACAGTCACACACACACACACAGTCACACACACACACAGTCACACACACACACACAGTCACACACACACACAGTCACACACACACATAGTCACACACACACAGTCACACACACAGTCACACACACACACACAGTCACACACACACACACAGTCACACACACACACAGTCACACACACACAGTCACACACACACACACAGTCACACACACACAGTCACACACACACACACAGTCACACACACACACAGTCACACACACACACATAGTCACACACACACACAGTCACACACAAAACACAGTCACACACACACACAGTCACACACACAGTCACACACACACAGTCACACACACACACACAGTCACACACACACACAGTCACACACAGTCACACACACACACAGTCACACACACACACAGTCACACACACACACACAGTCACACACACACACACACACACACACACACAGTCACACACACACAGTCACACACAGTCACACACACACAGTCACACACACACACACAGTCACACACAGTCACACACACACACAGTCACACACAGTCACACACACACACAGTCACACACACACACACACAGTCACACACACACACACACACACACACACACACAGTCACACACACACACACACAGTCACACACACACACAGTCACACACACACACACACACACACAGTCACACACACACACACAGTCACACACACAGTCACACACACACACAGTCACACACACACACAGTCACACACACACATAGTCACACACACACAGTCACACACACACACACAGTCACACACACACACAGTCACACACACACATAGTCACACACACACAGTCACACACACACATAGTCACACACACACAGTCACACACACACACACAGTCACACACACACAGTCACACACACACACAGTCACACACACACAGTCACACACACAAACACAGTCACACACACAGTCACCACACACACACAGTCACACACACACACAGTCACACACAGTCACACACACACACAGTCACACACACACACAGTCACACACACACACAGTCACACACACACACACACACACACACACACACACACACAGTCACACACACACACACAGTCACACACACACACACAGTCACACACACACACAGTCACACACACACACAGTCACACACACACATAGTCACACACACACACAGTCACACACACAGTCACACACACACACAGTCACACACACACACACAGTCACACACACACACAGTCACACACACACACACAGTCACACACACAGTCACACACACACACACAGTCACACACACACACAGTCACACACACATAGTCACACACACACACAGTCACACACAACACACAGTCACACACACACACAGTCACACACACACACAGTCACACACACACAGTCACACACACACACACAGTCACACACACACACAGTCACACACAGTCACACACACACACAGTCACACACACACACAGTCACACACACACACACAGTCACACACACACACACACACACACACACAGTCACACACACACACACAGTCACACACAGTCACACACACACAGTCACACACACACACACAGTCACACACAGTCACACACACACACAGTCACACACAGTCACACACACACAGTCACACACACACACACAGTCACACACACACACAGTCACACACACAGTCACACACACACACACACACACAGTCACACACCACACACAGTCACACACACAGTCACACACACACACAGTCACACACACAGTAACACACACACACAGTAACACACACACAGTAACACACACACAGTCACACACACACACAGTCACACACACACACAGTCACACACACACACAGTAACACACACACACAGTAACACACACACACAGTCACACACACACAGTCACACACACACAGTCACACACACAGTCACACACACACAGTCACACACACACAGTAACACACACACACACACACACACAGTAACACACACACAGTAACACACACACACACACACACACGCCTGTCTTTGTGGGTTTTCCATTGACTTCCATTCATTTCTGCATCCTGACCCCAACAAGCTTAGTCCTCAATCTGACCCCTGACCCAAAAACAGCCCCTCCCTTGTGTGGAGTGTGTGCGCTCCATCCTTCCTGGGAGCGTTTGGGTCGGAACCAGCAGCTTGTGGTTCTGTTTCAGCTCCCTATGGAAACTGGACCTGTGCACCACGGTTCTCCCTCAGATCGACAAACTGCTGCAGAGCAAATACGAGAGAGGTGAGACACAGCCAGAACCAGAACCAGCTGTTGGGTCTGGGTCAGAACCTGAGTCTGGTTCTGTTTGCAGCTACATGCAGACCGGCTCCACGTCGCTGAAGCTCATCATGAAACATTTCTGGTCTCTGATCTGCGATACGCTCAGGGCGTCGCCGGCGGTGGGGGTGGACATCACCTGGGAGGAGCGGTGAGTCACCAGCGGGGGTCGGCTCGGGGCCGCGGCCCACCGCTGACCTTTGACCTCTGTCTGCAGGCACCAGAAGTGCCGGGAGTGCCGTCGCTACCTGAAGAACCTGAGCAATGTGGTGAAGAACCGGGCCGGCCAGGCCGGACGCCATGGCAGCGCCTTCAAGGAGCTGCAGCTGCTGATGGCGCCGCTGGAGGAGGCCTTGTGACCCGTTCTGGACCCGATCAGAACCGCTTCGGACGGAACCAGCAATGTTTTACTGTTTCAATGTTGGATAAAGCTCCAGAACCGGGCCGGAGCTCCAGAACTGGGTCTGTTCAGTTTGTTTTATTTCTGCGGTTCAAACTTTTTCTAATTAAATCATTTCCAGAACGTCAGAAGAACCTTTGAATTAAACCGGATCAGAACCGTTTGGCCCGGTCCGGAGCCGTTGGCTCTGACAGCAGATCAGAACCGCTGCACCCGAAGGCCCAGGAACCCAAAGCGTTGCAGCATGCTGCCAGCTGATTGGCTTGTTATGTACGAAGCTGCTCCATCATTGGACGGCAGCAATCGGCCGGCTCTTCTGATTGGCCGATAGAGCTGCGAAAGGAAAACACTGGAAGCTCTGCAACTGAAGATTAATCTGGATTATTACTTCATAAACTGTAATCCCAGAGTGGGAATCTGATTCTCTCAGGTTGTTTATAGAAATTCAAAGTTTGTTTTTTTAACTATTCTGACAAAAAGCTGCTGCTGACAGCGTCCAGGTGTCTCACCTGTCCAGGTGTCCGTCTCTCCCACGAACCGCTGACCTGGACAGTTTAGTTTTATTTTGCATAAATAAATAAGTTTTCCTGAGTTTTTTTTTCCATTTGTTGAATGTAGTTTTTTCTATTTAGCAGGTGAATCTGCAGCCAAACGATCAGAAGGTTTCAGGAAGTTTAATAAAAACATTTAGAAAACAGACGGACGGCCTGGATCCCAGTCGACTCTGGAGCAGAACCGCTCCAGAGTCCAAATGCCAATGAGATCCAACCAGATCAGAACATTTACAGGTCAAAGTTCAACTAAATTAAAAGAGTTCAGACAGCGACCGGCAGGGGGCGCTGCTGGGAAAACAACCTCAGGGTAAAGTGCAAAAACAGATTCTCTAGGGGAACAGTTCAGTTCAAGAGGAAGAGTCTGCTCTTCTTCATCATCTGCTGCATCAGGTCTGATGTCCTCACAGTCCAGCAGCAGTTCTGGCCCGGTTCGGTGAAGTCCGGTCCACTAACAGAAAGACTGTCGGTTCTGGACGTCCCGCGTCTCTCAGGCGTTCAGCTTCAGTCGTCCTGCAAAGAGAAACAGCGTCGGAACCTGGTTCTGATCCAAAGAAACCCGTCCAGGCTGGACCCGACCTGCAGCAGGACGAAGAACCTTTAACCTCCTCCTCCCGGCCAGCAGGGGGCGCCATCAGAGCCCCGCCCACCATATAAAAAACCTGCAGAATCCTCCCAGCATCCTCTGCGCCGCGCAGCTCCGAACTTTATGGGACCGGATGTCCAGATTTATTCCAGATTATCTCACAATGGACTCAGATTATGGGATGTTTCCATCAGACTGGCTGCAGCGCAGAGGAAGCGGAAAAATTCCCAGCATGCATCTCGCCAGCAGCAGCGTGGGCTCAGTTCGCCCTGCGCAACACCTGACAGGCACACACACAAGCTGCGGTGGGTAGAGACAACACTGGGCGCCATGCATGCTGAGGGCGCCATGCCGACCTCCACCTACCTGCCCGCCGTCTCCTAGCAACGGGCCCTCTACCCCTCTGTCTGGAAACCAACCAATCAGAGCACAGAATGAGGAGACAGAGGAAGACGGGCAGACGGACAGTGGAGGCGCTCCGTCTCTGGGTCCGCTCCGACCTGCAGCCAGGAGGCACAGCTCAGTTCCCACAATGCACTGCAGTACCCACAATGCACTGCAGTACCCACAATGCACTGCAATACCCACAATGCACTGCAGTACCCACAATGCACTGCAATACCCACAATGCACTGCAGTACCCACAATGCACTGCAATACCCACAATGCACTGCAGTACCCACAATGCACTGCAATACCCACAATGCACTGCAGTACCCACAATGCACTGCAATACCCACAATGCACTGCAGGCTGCTGGAGCATTTATTAAAATTAGATGAAAATAAATCGCAGAAGCTGAAGAAGCTCAGAAACACCTGACAGGATAAAGTCTGTAAAAGGATGAGAACCTGACTTCCTGTTTAGTTACTCTACAAAATAAAAGCCTCTTTCAGTGAGCAATATTCAAGCTGAAAAACCAGGAGGCAGATCATCTTCAAACATTCCTCCATTTTTAATCGGAGGAGGTCAAAGATCAACAGAGGGCTGCGCACCTGCAGCCAGCTGCGACTGGGAGCGCCTGCGGGAACCGCTGGGCCCGCTGGGCGTCCTGGAGGCCGAGGACAGCGTGGAGCCGGCGCTGCTGGCCCGCGAGATGGGGAGGGGCGCCGGCGTGACAGGGGGAGAGTCCAGCTGGAGACCAGAGAGTTTAAGATGAAGATCAGCAGCAGCACTGCAGCTAACCTGCTAGCAGCACAGATAAGCCTTAGCTTAGCACTTTAGCATACTTTGAAAACATCTAGCAGACATTGTGTTCAAGAATTTATCCAAAAAATTTTGAATTAAGGGATATTAATTTACTTTGCTTTTACTTCAGTTGAATAAAGTTCAGTCTGTGTCGACGTTTTGCTTTTAGAGCAAAAAAACAGCTAAAGATAAAATGTGACAGAAACGCTACTGTGGCTAATGCTAATGCTAACTGTTAGTGCATTAGCATTGGCAGAACCAATGTCAATGCTGGGATTCTGCTAATGCTATGGCGCTAATTATTAGCATTCATTATCAGATCCAATGCTATTGTTTGGTGCTTTAGCATTAGCGCATGTAGCTTTTCACGGATTCCGTGAGTGGGCGGAGCCCGGCGAGTGGGCGGAGCCCGGGGAGTGGGCGGAGCCCGGGGAGTACCTCCAGGCTGCCGTGTGTGGGCGAGGACGACGTGGACGAGTTCTCGTGTCTCTTGGACGAAGCGGCAGCGTTGAGCTCCACGCTGCGAACGCGCTGAGCGAACTTCAGCGAACACACCGACTCACTCATGTTGCCAGGCAACGGAGACACCTGCAGGAACAGCGGCGGTGAGAAGCGGGTCTGGACGGCGGCGGCCGGGTTCTGGTCTCTGGACTCACCTGGACCATCATCAGGGTCTTGCTGTCTCCGCTCAGAGAGTCCTGCAGCAGGTAGGTGAGCCGCGAGTTCCTGAAGGGGACGTGGGCGTGTCGGCCGCGCAGCGCGCTGATGACGTCGCCCAGCGCCGACAGAGACTTGTTGATGCACTGCGCTTCCCGGAGCCGGCTGCCCTCTGCTCCGGACTTCCCGATCCGCTCCGAACCGGCCAGGTCCACCAGGTTCAGCTTCCCTGAAACACAACCATGAAAAACACCGAATCATTTTCACACCTAAAGATCAGAACAAATACTAACAAATACAAACAACAAAACGCGCTTCCTTCAAAATAAACTCAAAACCCTCAGGAAATAATTTAGATGTAAAAGATTCTTAAATATTTCTTTCAGAATATTTAAGATTTATATTAAATGCATATTTTATTTTCTGACTGAAACGGCTTTCCATACAACAGACTTACTGATCCAATCTTGCTTGTCTCTGATTGGTTACTACTTCTACCTCTAATTTGATTGGCTAACAGCAGCAGAGGGCGGAGCTAAAGGACTTGCAGGATCGTGTTTGTTTGCGGTTCTCGGAGGGAATTTTGGCTTTTCTGGCCTTCCGTAGTCCCGACAAACGGATCCGGACCGCCGGCAGTCAGAAAGCAGAACCGGCCTGACCTTGTGTTCTGGTTCCGGTCGTGCTGTTGAACCCAGACACGGTGATGAGCAGCGCGTGGGAGCGTGAGCTGTGTTCGTTCAGGTTGGTGCACGCCGTGGCCCGGTTCACCCGGCCCAGCTCAAACACCTGGGGACAAGGACAGGACCATCAGAACCAGAACCGCTGTGATATCTGGGTGTTTTACTTTGAAAGGACAGACAGGAAGCGGTCACCCTGTTGATGTCCTCGGGGCTCCGGACGACGATCTCCGTCAGTCCGGGGACGTAGAGCTGTCCGCTGCCGTCCGGGTTCAGCTTGATGTCCAGCTTGTCTGTGGAATTCGGCCTCAGCAGGTCACTGCAGGAAACACAGAGTCACAGCCTGCAGGCGGCGGCGCGACCCGCAGCGCGACCGGCATGGCGACCAGCGGCGCGACCCGCAGCGCGACCCGCAGCGCAACCAGCAGGGCGACCCGCAGCGCGACCCGCAGGGCAACCAGCAGGGCGACCAGCAGGGCGACCCGCAGGGCGACCCGCAGGGCGACCAGCAGGGCGACCCGCAGGGCGACCCGCAGGGCGACCCGCAGGGCGACCCGCAGGGCGACCAGCAGGGCGACCCGCAGGGCGACCAGCAGGGCGACCCGCAGGGCGACCAGCAGGGCGACCCGCAGGGCGACCCGCAGGGCGACCAGCAGCGCAATCCGCAGGGCGACCCGCAGGGCGACCCGCAGGGCGACCAGCAGGGCGACCCGCAGGGCGACCAGCAGCGCGACCAGCAGGGCGACCCGCGGCGCGACCAGCAGGGCGACCAGCAGGGCGACCCGCAGGGCGACCAGCAGGGCGACCCGCGGCGCGACCAGCAGGGCGACCAGCAGGGCGACCAGCAGGGCAACCCGCAGGGCGACCCGCGGCGCGACCAGCAGGGCGACCCGCAGCGCAACCAGCAGGGCGACCAGCAGCGCGACCCGCAGGGCGACCAGCAGGGCGACCAGCAGGGCAGCGGACCAGAACCTAGATCAGAACCAGGACCGGAGCCTCACCGCAGCGTTTCGTTGTAAATCTCCACCAGGCTGACGATGATCCGATATTCCCAGTCCAGTCTTTTCTCCGACACTTCGGCGAACAACAGGCGCAGCGCGCGCTGGTTTATGCCAGGGTCAGAGGTCACGCCCTGCGGACACAAAGGAATACAGGTCAGATGCCGTCGGCACCAGGTGAGGCCGGCGAGGCTCCGCCCCCTACCTCCATGGTGTAGGTCTTCCCAGATCCTGTCTGTCCGTACGCGAAGATGCAGACGTTGAATCCGTCGATACAGGAAGTGACCAGGGCCTGCACTTCCTGGAACACCTAGAGGACCAATCAGAGAGCAGGACATTATGAGACGCCGTGACGGGCGACCAGAACCAGGAGGAGCCAGGAAACCCGGTTCTGGAGTCGCTCACCTCCTCCTGCGAGGCCTGCGGCGGGAAGACCTTGTCCAGTTCAAAGGTCATGACCTTTCCCCTGGAGGACAGGTAGAGGACAGCGTCGTCGTCTGAGTCGAAGCTCAGCGCCGTTTCCGCGTCAGCCGAGTCCAGTTGCTCTTGGCTGACGGGTCGGACCCGGCAGAACACCCGGATATTACCTGGGACACAAATTTTATGTGAAACGGGCCAAAGCAGAGCCGAGTCTGGAGGTTCTGCTGCGGTCAGAACCCAGCCGGGTCGGACCTTTGAGGCGGACCAGCTCGTTGTGGCATTTCTTCCTCAGGTTCATCTCCCTCTTGTACTTCCTGAGCAGATCCTGGTTGGTGCTGCTGACGTCGCTGATCACCTGGCAGATCTGCAGACACACAGCGGGTCAGCCGGGCCGGGCGGAACCGGGCCGGGCGGAACCGGGCCGGGCGGAACCTGGCCGGGCGGAACCGGGCCTCACCTCCTGCTTGGCCTCACTGATTGCTTTCTCCAGCATGGAGGGGAAATCCTGGACCTGCTTCTTCAGGCAGTTATAGTCAGAGGTCAAAGTTCGCAGGGCCGGCTGCAGGCTGAGCAGGTTCAGACGCACACCTGGACACATCATCACCATCACCATCTTCATCACCGCTCCCTGTCCAGCCGCGGCGGCTCTCACCTGCCAGGTTCTCGTGGACGGCCTTCATCTCGCTCTCGGCCCGGACGAAGGCCTCCTCGATCAGCCGGTTCTTCTCGTCCTCCAGGTTCTGCATGTCGGCCTCCAGCTGGCCCTGCGCTCGCTGCATCTCCCCCTCGTAGACGTGGATCTGGGGGAACATGCAGCGCCGCGTTTCAGGCTCCGTCACCTAAACGAGTGACTTGATTGATACTACTGATAGCTTAGCTCGAGCCTTTCCTCTGCCTACATTTCCCAGAATGCTGTGGTTCTAGAGCGGACTTCAGTCAACGTTCCGTCACCTTCAGCATCACTAAAACATGACGCCACTGACCCGACAATAAACATGGCCGCATCTATGGACAGATTTCCCAAGAAACATTACTTACCGTCCAAAAGTCAGTAAAACATGCAGATATGTTGAGCTGGACGGGAAAACCATCAGATTCAAGAAGATTAAAACTGCTTTTCAACCACTGTGCTGCCGTGGAACTGATCCAATTTAACCTAATTGGTCGAAAAAGATTTTTTGAAAACAAATTAACTACAAATAATTTGCCATTTTGGAGTGTCTGTGTTGAAGTAGTGACCAGTAATCATGCAGTTTCCTGATGGACGTTAAAACAAGACAATTATTGATGCATGAAAGTGACGGGAAGCGGTGAGAGCATTGAGCCTGGCAAGACTGTGAAAAGAAAAAATGCCGTAATTTGAAATCAACGGAAGGAAAATACCCAGAGCTTTTTCTTTTCCAAATATTGTTGCTTCTCAGAAAAGGAATTATTTTCTGTGTTCTGCTTGTGGACAGAATGAGTCGTGTGTTCAGGCGAACTTTTGAACTAGACATGTTAAGTGCAATTTGAAATATCTAATATGAAATATGATAGAAATAAATTTTTGTATTTGATTCCTATTTCAGACACTTTGATAAGAAAGACTATATATAAATTTTTTTCTTAATTTTCATTTGTTTAGATTTTTGGTTGGTGGTTCGTGATTCTTTCAATGAAAACAATGTAGCTTTGCTCAAAAAAGGTTGAAAAACTGGATTAAAACACAGATTATCAATAAGTAAGTTAAAATGTCTACAGAACCAATAAAACACAAACTACTGACACAAAACACCGACAGGAAGCCGACCAGTTTTCCTCTGCTTAAAGTCACCGAGTTAAGCTAGGCTAACTAAGCTAGGCTAACTAAGCTAGGCTAACTAAGCTAGGCTACGTCAATTACACAATACATGTAGATTTTAAACCCACAGAAATATGTGATCAGTCTTGGTTACTGGGTGCTACTGGGAGGCTGCCTGAGCTTCTCATCCAAACCAGTTTCACTTTTATTTCACCGACTGCTGGAGTCAAAACATCAGAGACGTTTTAGAAAACAAGAAATAGAGGCCAGAGCTCCAGCTGACAGATTTACCTTAAAGGACAAAAACAGCAGATGTAGTAAATACATCTGAAAATAATTCAAAAGTAACTCAGTAATCTGGCTGACGGGAAATACATTTATTTTCTTTATTGTTGTTGCTGTAGTAACCGCGCAGCGCAAAAGAAACGTCTGATTAATTTAATCACTGAAGTTATTTTGAGTTTTACTCTGGATTACAGATCCAGGTGATCTCCGGCTGGAGATCACCTGGAGCTCAGGAGCCTGGGGGAGTGACATCACAGGGGGCGGGGCCAACCTTGGACAAGCCGAGATCCAATTGGCTCTTTGCGTTGCTGACAGCCGCGGATAAAAGGCCACAGAGGCGCAGCTGCAGCCGGACAGGTGAGAGAAACAAAGGTGAGCTGCGACACCTGGATGCTTCTGATTGGCTGTCAGGCTAGTGCGCCACACCCAGCCACAGACACAATGGCCAATCAGAGGAGGGGAAGCAGAGGCATCTCACCTGAGTCCGGAGCTGAGTGCAGGTGCGCTGCGAGTCGTGCAGCTGCGCCTCCAGCTCGCGCAGCAGCTGCCTCTGCAGCGACAGCTGCTCCTGCAGCGACCCGTTCTTCACCTGCAGCTCCACCAGCGCCTTCTGCGAGTCGGCCGACTCCACCTGCACCATCTGGGTCACCACCTGCAGAGGAGCGCAAGGCTGGGTCAGCTGCTGCAGCAACACCAGCGGCTGCAGCTGTGTGGGGATCGCTCCATCAGATTTCTGCATCTTTCATCCGTTCCTTACCTTGACTCTAGGGGGCGCCACTGCCTGTCTAGCCATCTCTTCTTCGCACTCCTGCAGTCGCAGATGCAGTTTCTGCTCTTCCTCGCTGCGGCGCCTCCTGCTGTCGTCCAGCTGCAGCTGCAGCGCCTCCGCTCTGCAGGTGCTCTCCTGCAGCTCCTGCTGCAGCTCGGCAAGCCGCAGCTCCCGCTGCCGCGCCCGACTCTCCAGGACGCCGCCTGCCGCCGCAGCGACTCCGCCTCCTGCAGCGCAGACGCAGAGGGCGGAGTTAGACCAGGCCACGGCAGCGGCGCCCGAGAGGCCGCGGCGGCCTCACCTGACTCACCTGACTCACCTGACTCACCTGAGCATGGTTGCAGCGGTTGCAGCGGCTGCAGCCGTCCGCCGCGGCGTCAGGCTGAAGCTCTGAGCTCCTGAGTGACTTCAGCTCCTGTTTCAGACGCTCGTTCTCCACCAGCAGCCGCTCCAGCTGCTTCTCCAGGTCTGTCGCCCCTGCAGGACAGGTGGCGACGTTACAGCAGCTTCTCACCGAGAGGATGGAGCCGGGAGATTAGATTAAAATATAATCTCAGCGTTTAGAGAAGTTAAAGATGTGAAGGTGAAAGTTCTGATAAAAGATTAAATATTTATAGATTAAGAAAATGATCGATCCAATCAGTCTGATCGATCAATGAATCACATAATACAGACTCAGAGGATCGGACCCGTTACTCCCGCTGGTTTTGTTGCCATGGCTCTGAAGCTGCAGTGAGAACTTCTTGTTGGGTTCTGACTCGGTATCGGTTCCGAGTCTGATCCCAGAGTTTGGGTCAGAACTTTGAGTTTCAGGTTCTGGACTCGGGTTCTCACCAGTTCAGAGCGAAGTCTCTCCACCTCCTGAGTCCGATCCAGCAGCTTCTGCTCCAGCGTCGCCACCTGCAGGCAGAACCGTTGGTAAAACTGGACCAGAACCACAGAACCAGTCCTGCAGACGTACCTGTGTGTGCAGCCGAGAGACGAGCTGCTCCTCTTCGGGTCGGCTGAAACGGTCCAGATTCGGCTTCACACCTAAAACCAGGACCGGGTCAGAACCAGGACCGGGTCAGACATCGGCCTACGCTCTGATTGGTTCTGGATTCAAATCCGGGATCAGAATCATTTTAACTGTGTCACCTGTGGGCGTGGCCAGCAGAGGCTCCTCCCCCTGGGTCCAAGCTCCGCCCCCCTGCTGGCAGGAAACCTCCTCTAAGCTGAAACAGGCCTGAAGCTCAGAAACCTTGTCCTGCAGAGTCTGAACACACAACACACACACACACCACACACACACCACACACACACACACACACACACACACACAGGATGAGACTGCAGCAGGTGACTGTTCTACAGGGCACTATGCTCTAGAGGTCAGAGGTGAAAGGTCGTAAAAGGAGAGAGAGACTGAGGTAGGTCAGAACCAGGAGGATGAGGATAGAAATGATGAAGGTTTTTACATTGACAGGCGTCCAGCAGCAGGACCAGGAGACTCTCTGCAGGACAAGACGGCATGGAGGGAAACAGGACAGTTAGGAAGACACTGGACAGAGAGAGAGACAGACAGATGGACAGAGAGACAGACGGATTTCTCCAAGGTCAAGTGGTTCAGTGACCTCTGCTAGCTTCAGTTCTTTCTAAGAAACGATGACTCAGTAAGTGCTAAGCTAACTGCTAACCTAAAATGAAAACCTGTCTCAGGATTCACTTCACTGTGTTGATGTCACATCCTGACTGTTGCTTTGCTAGCAGTAGCATAGTAGCTTTCTGTTAGCGCTGTTAGCCGTACTGCTTTGTTTATACCATTATTACATTAGTAGTTTCTGTGTGGATCATGTATTCAGAAGACAAAAATGCCTTGCAGTGACATTCCTGGTTATTGGTTCCTAATTGTTGAAGCCATCAGCTTGACGCTCTCCGTCTTTTCCCTTCATCTTACTCGATGACAAAAAAACCCAAAACGAAAAACAGACTAAATCCTCTTGATAAGTTGAACGGTTTACTTCAGAAATAAAAACAGTACAAAATTTCACATTCCACACTAATAAAAAGTAAGTCAAAAAGAGAAAGAAAAAGTGAGGTCAACACACTGTGTGGCTCCACTCCAACTGCCCAACGCCCTCACTTTAGCCACACCCCAACTCTTCCACTCCAATTAGTTATGCAAATTCACAATATGTCCCCAGAGACTGAATTTAGGCTTCTACACTGGTGCTAGCATTAGCTAACTGGCTAACGATGCAGACCCTCGTTTTCCAAACCAGTTCATTCGTTTTCTGGCTCCATGTCAGACCAGATGGACGAGTCAATAATCGCTTCTGAAGCAACAAAAATGGGCCGAACAGGTGGAACAGAAGGGGCGGGGCCTAACGTGTCAAAATAAGTTGCTCTCAGCCTGCAGAGCTAAAATAACCAGGAATCAGCTGAAGGATTTTAAAGTTTTCACATGAAGTATCAGTTCTTCTATAAACAAGTGCTGCCCTCTAGTGGCAGCAGTGGGAACGGCAGATCGGATGAGGATTGACAACATCAACGCTCTGTGGCTCTCCACCAGGGTTTGACCCCTGACCTCCACCCAGCCTCACACTGACACGTTCTGATAGAACTCATTAGAACCCGTCTGCGTTCAGGTGCTGTTCGCAGAGCGGCGCCCCCTGCAGGACGGTTTACCTGGATGAGCAGCTGGTGGGACGAGCTGGCGTTGAGCTCAGCGGTCAGGGGGGGCGCTGTGAGAAGGCGGCCGCAGGCAGAGACAGGAAGGAGCCGTCGTCTTCACCATCACTCATCAGGAAGTCCACTGAGCTGGCTGCAACACACACACACACACACACACACACACACACACACACACACACAGAGACACACACACAGACACACACACACAGAGACACACACAGACACACACACAGAGACACACACACACAGAGACACACACACACAGACACACACACAGACACACACACAGAGACACACAGAGACACACACACAGAGACACACAGAGACACACACACACACAGAGACACACACACACAGAGACACACACAGTTAAAGAGTTCCTCTGATAAGCAGAACCAGGAGTTTCCAGCAGGTTCTGCCCAGCTAGCAGCAGCTAGTGACCTCTGACCCCCTCACACAGAGTCGATTTGCTTCGACTCCAGTCTCTCTGAACTCTGAACTCTGGCCGGCCGGAGAACAATCCCGGCTGTGTGTGGAAAGCTTTGCTCCATTTTAATCCGTTTGCGTCTGGAGCCGCGGACTGACCTTTGACCTGCTGCCATGGAGACCAGGGCGAGGGGGGACATGTTGCTACAGCTGAACAACTACTGACCCACCTGCAGAACCACGAACAGAACCGGCCCGGTTCTGATCAACCCGGTTCTCTGATTAGTCCAGATTCATTCATTTGATCTTTAGAAACATCCTAAAGTTTCTACGTTCAACTGTTTTCCAGAACAAACAGAACCAGAGGAGAAATCTGCTGTCTATCAACAACCGCCAGAGAGCTGCAGCATCCTGATCATCATCCTCATTCCTTGATGCTAATGAAAACCAGTGGACACAAGCAGCTAATCTGCTAACAGGACTAATTGTGACTTTAGCGGTTCAGATAATTTTGAAGATTGCTAGCACAGCTAGCATCCCCTATATAACTCCCTCCAGGTAGAAAACGAAACAAGGCGTTCATCGTTGTTACATGGCATTTAATGCTTATGCCGTGAGAACTGTACAAAACACAAAATACATTTTACAGAAAATATTCACATACAAAATAGACGATTATTACACACAAATTAAAACTCAAAAATGCGTACCTCATTGGCCGCTTCAACCTGAAAGGGTTGATACAGAAACTGTAGCGTATTCTTATAATTCAGCTACACGAGGCAGTCTCGCCGAACCTTTTATTTTACTGAGACAAAAAAACATGCTGCCCTCTATCGAGTGCCGTGTGTAACAGAAAATATGTTCCTAAACGAAACAATCATTAAACATTGGTTCCACTTCAGAAATATTTACACAACTTACAATGAACATAAATATTTTACCACACTTTAACTTATATACACCAAATTAAATTATAAAATTAACTCAAACTGTATAGTCTGCTGCTGATGGCAGCCACACTCCCACCAAATCAGAAATGATTTCCTACTAAAACCTGAATACAAAAGAAAAAACAACAAATGTCTGTAATCCAGCAAATCATGTATCCTAGTACTGAGTTACTCAGCTTCGACTAGAGTAACTGTCTTGTGGATGGGTCTCTCCAGATATACTGGCTTGTTAACTCTCTTTCCTTGGTCGTCAAGTGTTGCATCACTCAACAACAATTCGAGTTTCCTAACGAATCCATCTTCACTAGGGAACACCTTAGTGACCTTAGCCAGTTTCCACTCATTTCTGGGTAGACTATTGTCCATCAGAATCACAATGTCATTGATCTTGGCATTTCTCTGTGTCTTGTACCATTTGGTTCTTTGCTGAAGATTCAGCAGGTATTCCTTTTTCCATCTGGTCCAAAATTCATTGGCCAAGTATTGTACCTTACGCCATCTTTTACGAAGATAAAGATCTTCTTTCACAAACTCACCAGGTGGTGGTAAAACCACTGAGGACTTCATGGTCAGAATGTGATTCGGTGTAAGAGGCTGTGGAGAAGTGGGATCACTGAGCAGGTGAGTTGTTAAGGGCCTACTATTTATGATCGCCATAACCTCATAAAGGTATGTACGTAAAGATGAAATGTCAAGTCTTTTGGATGAATGATCCAAAATGGATGTCAACACACTTCTTATTGTCCTGATCTGCCTTTCCCAGGTTCCACCCATATGGCTAGCAGATGCTGGGTTCATAACAAATTCACAACCTAGTTGTTTTAGGCTTTCTTGGTCCATTTTCTTTACAGCTTCCAAAAACTCTCGTCTTGCCCCAACAAAGTTGGTTCCCTGATCTGACCGAAGCTGCCGAACATTTCCACGTATGGCAATCAATGTTCGAAGACTGTTAATGAAAGCGTCAGATGTCATGTCATCAAGTAGCTCTATGTGCACAGCACGCGAGCAAAGGCATGTAAATAGCAGACCGTAGCGTTTAAGTTCCTTTCTTCCTCCTTAATGTAAAATGGGCCGAAGCAATCCATTCCACAATAGGTAAAGGGAGGTGATGCTTCCACTCTTTCACACGGTAAATCTGCCATTCTTTGTACTTCAGTATTTCTTCTGAACTTTCTACATTTCACACACTTGTAAATGTAAGAAGACACTGTGTGATTGCATCCCAATATCCAGATGCCATTCGATCGGAGCTCGTTCATGGTCATCCCACGACCCTGGTGATGAACTCTTTGATGGAAGTGATCAATGAGCAGCTGTGAGATATGGGTTTTGCTTGGCAAGATTGCTGGATGTTTAATGTATGGGTGTAAAGAAGAACGTTCCAGCCTACCTCCTACTCTGAGTACACCATGTTCATCTAAGAAAGGATTTAGTTTATGCAGTCTGTTTGCACTGTTCTTTGTTATCTCTCCTTTAGATTTTAAGTCTTTGATTTCTTCTGAAAATACTTCCCTTTGGACTGTGGCTATGATGAAACGCTCCGCCTCTTTTCTCTCCTCAAGACTGGTGACCTTGTTGGTTCTGGAGAGTGAACCCTTGACCTCTTTAACACATCGTATGAGTCGTGCAATGGCCTTAACCAGTCTTGTCCAGTTTGAGAACCTTAAGAAACGACTGTGCAGAGACTCTTCTGTCGTTAGTGTCTTATGCACAAAGGTTTTTCGTAGCTCTGGATTTTCAGCTTCTAACTCTCCCACCTTAACATCATTAGCAGGAAGTGTGTTATGCCAGAGAAAATCTGGACCAGTGAACCAATTGGAAGTGGTCAGTCCTTTAACTGTCAAACCTCGTGATGCATGATCTGCGGGGTTATCTTCAGAGGTCACATATCCATTGATCTGGATTGGAACCTTCTTGTATGCGCTGTATGCGATTTGCCACAAATATGTGAAATCGTCTAGCATCGTTGTTAATGTATCCAAGAACAACCTTTGAATCAGTCCAGAAATATTCTTGGGCTTCAACTTCCAACTCCTTTTTAAGCAGGTTACTTGTTCGAACAGCAATAACAGCTGCTGACAGCTCAAGTCTGGGTACTGTGGTGACCTTTGTAGGTGTCACCCTGGCCTTGCCAATAACTAAAGTACAGTAGACTTGATTTGATATACTGATTGCTCTCAAGTAAGAACATTCACCGTATCCTTTAACACTTGCATCTGAGAAATGATGCAACTCATATCTTTCGACTTCCTCGAAACCCTTTGGAGATAACATCTTTGAATTTTGATGTTGGATAGATTCTTTAAGTCCAACAGCCAAGACTCCCATCGTGGTTTGAGATCTTCAGATAATGGTTCGTCCCATCCAATCTTATCTCGACACATCTCTTGAAGTATTTGCTTCCCAACCAGAAAAATGGTGCTACAAACCCAAGAGGGTCATAGATGGATGCCACTGTTGATAAAACACCTCTTCTTGAAAGTGGGCGTTCATCCACAATCACTCTGAAATGGAACTGATCCGAAACAACACACCATTTAATTCCCAAAGCTCTCTCAATGTGTGACTCTCCAAGAGTCAAGTCACGATTTCTTACTGCATCTGCGCAGTCATCTTCTGGAATGGATGCAAGTACATCTTGGTTGTTGGAAACAAACTTGTGAAGTCGCAGATTGCCAGCACTACAAAGTTGTCTTGCTTCCTTTACCAACTTTATAGCTTCATCCTTGGTTGCAACACTTGTCAGTCCATCATCCACGTAAAATTTCGTTCAATGAACTGGATGGTTGTTTCACTGTACTGACCTTGACCTTGGGCCGCAACATGTTTCAACCCAAAATTTGCGCAGCCTGGCGATGATACTGCTCCAAATAAATGAACTCGCATACGATAAATGGATGGTTGAGCCTGAAAGTTTCCATCATCCCACCAGAGAAATCTCAAGTAGTCCTTGTCCTCTGTTTTAACATGAATTGATGGAACATGCGCTCAATATCGCACATTATGCCAACTTGTCCTTTACGAAACGACAGAGAACACCTATCAGACTGTTTGTTAAGTCTGGCCCACTGAGCAGGTAGTCATTTAATGACACACCTTCGAACCTTGCAGAGCAGTCAAATACGACTCGTATTTTTCCTGGCTTGTGTGGGTGATAGACTCCGTGGTGAGGAATGTACCACACAGAACCTTTATTATTTCTTCTTCTGGGACTCTTTCAGCATCTCCATTTGCTATGATTTGACTCATAAAGTTTGCGTAATCATTTTGGTATTGTTTATCCCTTTCAAATCTCCTTTTCAAGCATCGGAGTCTGTGAACTGCACACACCTTATTATCTGGGAGATGTGGTCGATCCTTCTTGAAAGGAAGTGGCATTTCACAATAACCATCTGCCTTCATTTGACTCCTTCTTCCATTATGGATAGGAACCGCAAATCCTCCTGAGATAAATTTGCATCTTCAACTCTTCTCTCACTGAAGTCAGACTCAAGCATCCTCAACACATCGGTGGAGAAATGAACTCCTTAACTTGAGTCCTACAAATGTATTTCACTTCATTTGTGAGGTTCTTAGATGTATGAGGCTGAGGCTTCACAGACTTCATGATGATCTTATGGCTGCTTCCAATTGCATCACCATAGTCAACACACGGGCTAACACAACCAACTATGCTCCATCCAAGATCTGTTTTTGAGCAAATGGTTCGTCATTTACCGGCACCACTTCTCGAGGTAACAAGCCTGTGGACAGTTGTAACCTATGAGTAGTCCTACATCACACTCAATCAATGGAGCAATTTCTTCAGCGAGATGTTCTAGATGTGGCCATGCTCTCGCAGTTTTTGGGGTTGGTATGTGACTTAGATTAGCAGGAATGAACTCTCTTGAATAGGTTACAGGTAGAGAAATCTTCTTTGATGAATAAAACCCTCTCACCTGCAGTCCAACTAATCTCTGACTTGGGATGATTGTATTTCGAGATGAAAGTGTGGAGAGCCTTAACTGCACAGGTTCTCCTTTTGCTTCCAGAACATCTGCCTTATCTTGCATGATGAATGTCGTATCACTTTGGTTATCAAGTAGAGCATAAACGAGAATTTCATTCTCTGGGTTACTTGACGTAGATAACCACACAGGAACAACGGTAGAAGAGTACATGTCCATGTCTCGCACTACTCTGTTTGATGTAGCTTCATTTGAGGGTTCAATATTGTGATTGTGCTCAGCTTTTTCCTTTTGAATCTGTAATTTCAGAGGTTTTTTACATTCTCGCATGTTCATCATTGCTTTTCTCTTTCTATTTGCTCTTTCACAATCTTCGTGTAGACACGTTGGATGTTTTCCCATGTTTCACAAAAGCTTCTTCTTTTGCAGTCTTAGAGTGGTGTCCTGGTTGCAAAACATCCAAAACACAATTTTTTTGTCTGGACAAACTTGAGACGTTCCTGAACTGGTTTTCATTGAATTTCCAGCATTTCTGAATGCCATGATTTTGTTTTTCACAGAAAATGCAACCTTTATATTCTGATCTCTCTTCAGAGTTACTCACAAACCTTTGCGCCAAACATTCGTGTCTTTGTTGTCTTTATTTTTTCAACATCACCAGATTTCAAGGCATGAAGAGAAGTTACTGGATTGCAAGCTATTTTTGCTTCCTTGTGATGAACTCCACAAACTGACTGAATGTAGGAAAATCATTGCAACTTTCGATCTCAATCACCTTTCGTTCCAACTAGCAACTAACCAATCAGGAAGCTTTGTGAGAAGTTTCTGATTTCATCACAGGTGTTCAGTATTTCTAAACTTTTAATTTGAGACATTGCAGCCTGACAGCCCCTAAGAAAGTCTGAAAATCCCTCAGTTCAACACTATCTCTGGGTCCTATTTTGGGCCACGATGCAAGCTTATCTTTGAAAGCTTTAGCTATCACAAAGGGGCTTCCAAATCTTCTTCCAGGATAACCCATGCTGAATCATAAGCTTCATTCATCGGTCCTAACAAGAAAAACTTTCAATGGCCTTTCTTGCAGATCCACCAACGTATTTACGAAGGTAATAAACTCTTTCGTTTACTGGGATGTTTTTCCTGCCTATTAGTGTTTGAAATGACATCTTCCAGTCCTTGTATCTTAGTGGGTCTCCATTAAAACAGGAGGTTCAGGTACTGGGGGACGGCTCACATTAATAGACTCCGCTATTGCTTCAGCAAAGACTGTAGCACTGTCTGCCTGGGGTGGATGTTCATAGGAACTTCTTTTAGCTCCAGAAGATCGACGTCGTTCAAACTGTTTGGTTATGAAGTAACTCTGCAACTTCTTCATCTGACTTGCTTCTTGTTCATAAACTTGCAGCCGTGCCTTTGCTGCACTCAACTTCTTAACAGTCTGAGACGTTCTATGTCTGCGTTTTTCTTCCAGTGCTTCTTTCTTGCCACATTTTCTTTCCTCTTGTAATGCCATTTTCCTATCTTCTTCTTCAAGGTTTTCAAGTTCTTGTTGTTCACTTCTATCTCTTCCAGAACCTTTAAAGCAGCCTGTGTAGCAGCTAACTCTGCCGCAGCCTCCTTGTTCCTAATAGAGGAAAGGCTCGACTGTTGGGACTTAATGCTTGAACTGCTAGCAGAGATTAAACTTCGAGAACCTTTACTTGTGGCTTTAGAGACTGAAGATAGAAACACAGAACCAGACTCAGGCCAATCAACATCCTCTGTCTGATCATCATCATCACCCTTGTTGTGAAGGTAAATGGATGCCCTTTCTAAGATCATTTCAGATACAGCATCACAGGTGTCTACTCTGCGACGGATCTCATTACCTGGAAGAACACATTTTCGCAGATTTTCATAACTGTGCTTCACATCTGCAGATCCACACCTTATCTTACTCATCAATTCCTGCACATCATCAACAGAGGGAGTTCCATTTATCGCCCTTTTTGCTTGTTTTGCCGCCACTTTCCATTTGTTGTAAGTATTGGTAAAACGATCCTGCAGTTTTTTTTGCTTTATTATCATGCAGTTCTTGAGCCCTTTCAGTAAGCTTTCTAGTCCTTTGGCTTCTTCTTGGCTCCTCTTCTGTTTCAGATGACTGCTGTAGAACTGCGCCATTACTTTCTTTAAGTAAGTCGCCCTTTTTTTAGTTTCATTGTCAGTCATTTGCTCCATCATGCAATGTTTACTTATTACTTGGCCCAAAATAACTTATAGTTATGGCTTTACAGAACTAATGACTTAACAATAACCAACTCGAGTAGCTAAAATAATAACAGCTACAACTTAGATTAAACTTGTCTGAAACATTAAGAATGAATAGGAAATATTTTTCACACCACTTCAAACCTTAAGAAATTGTCTCCATGAATAGAAGCTTAAATTACCTAAACGTGAACTATTTCTCGAACCAACATACACAAAATCCAAAACCTGAACACTTAATTATTCAACACTTTTAGCATCTAAATGACAAGAATATGTAAAATGATTTTGTTTACAAACAAAACCTTAGATAAAACCTTGAACTTAAACAGAATTGTGTAGAGCACCAGATTACTTAATTTTAACACTTGCAGTGTCTCCTTAAAACAAAGTTGATCCACTTCTTAACATTTAACTTGTTTTAAATGTATCACTTGTTGGAACATCAATGTAAAACTTGAACACGCTTGTTGCTTCGGTTTCTGGTGTTGCACAATCTGTGTGACGCTACAGTGCGATGAATCTTCTTCGCTGCTCAGTCACTGAAGGGGACAATTCTTCGTTTCATCACCTCATTTCGAGCAGACTGAGTTCTCACTATAACTCCCTCCAGGTAGAAAACGAAACAAGGCGTTCATCGTTGTTACATGGCATTTAATGCTTATGCCGTGAGAACTGTACAAAACACAAAATACATTTTACAGAAAATATTCACATACAAAATACGATTATTACACACAAATTAAAACTCAAAAATGCGTACCTCATTGGCCGCTTCAACCTGAAAGGGTTGATACAGAAACTGTAGCGTATTCTTATAATTCAGCTACACGAGGCAGTCTCGCCGAACCTTTATTTACTGAGACAAAAAAAACATGCTGCCCTCTATCGAGTGCCGTGTGTAACAGAAAATATGTTCCTAAACGAAACAATCATTAAACATTGGTTCCACTTCAGAAATATTTACACAACTTACAATGAACATAAATATTTTACCACACTTTAACTTATATACACCAAATTAAATTATAAAATTAACTCAAACTGTATAGTCTGCTGCTGATGGCAGCCACACCCTAAATTAATTGTTTCAAATAAATTCTGAATGCAGATTTACTGCCTTCAGATTTACTTTAGCATTAGCATCTGCTACATACCATATTGGTGTAGCACCTTAATGTGTTATGCTAACTGGCAACTAGCCAATTAGCATAGCACACTGAGCTGCAACAAGACAGGATGGAGAGCGCCACCTCCTGTCTGCCTGAGGCACTGAGCAGCTGACTGCAGGATCAACCTGAGCAGACGGCCTGACTAGCAAATCGGAGCAGAGCTCCTCTGATCCAGAACCAAGACCGGTACTGAATCAAGACCGGTACCGAACCAAGACCGGAACCGAACCAAGACCGGAACCGAACCAAGACCGGAACCGAACCAAGACCGGAACGGAACCAAGACCGGTACCGAACCAAGACCGGTACCGAACCAAGACCGGTACCGAACCCGTCCCTCTGAGGCAGTTTGACAGGAATCAGCGTGAAGGTTGAGTATTAGCAGCTGTGGTTCTCAGACAGGAACAGGAAACGGATCAGAAACTCTTCAGGAAACTCTAATCACACACACACACACACACACAAACCCCTACACACACACACACACACACACACACACACACACACCCCTACACACACACACTCCTACACACACACACACACACACACAAACCCCTACACACACACACACACACAAACCCCTACACACACACACACACACCCTACACACACACACTCCTACACACACACACACACAAACCCCTACACACACACACACACACACACACACACACACAAACCCCTACACACACACACACACACACACACAAACCCCTACACACACAAACACACACACACACACACACACACACACACACACACCTGGGAATGTGCAGCTCGCACCGGATCAATGGCTCCAGTGTTCGTTCCCCTCCAGAACCGATAGGCTCACCTGTTCCTCCTGCCGAACCGGGTCACCTGTCAGGAGGAATGCAGCCAGGCCGGTGCCCGCAGGCCCCGCCTCTCACTCACCGTCCAATGAGAGGTCTTTCTTCCAGAGCTCCTGCAGGCAGGGGGCGTGAACGATGTCCCAACTCTGTCTGGTTCCGAACATGACCGCCGGGCTGAGCAGAGCGCTGGACCGCTGGACCGGCTGCAGAACCAGAACCAAACAAACATTAAAACATGTGCAGGCTGCAGCACAGCTCCCCCTGCTGGCAGGAAGAGCGCCGTGGATTTAATGGAGTTTAACATGGAAAATGATTTCCTGATTTTTCAGTAAGTCCTGAACGCATCCAAAACCCAAATGGACCGACCAGAACCGCTGGTAGAACCAGAGAACCAAAACACCCTGCAGTTACAAACGGACCGGAGGTTCTGGATGTACAAATGGACCCACCAGTTTGTCCCGAATGAAACCTTCAGTCTTCCCAGTTAGACCTCAAACCAGTTCACCAGAACCGGTACCGTGGACCCGACTGGACCTCAGCCCTCTGATTGGCTGAGGACGGACCCGCTAATCGGAACCATCTGGTCCAGAACTGCAGCGAACCTTACCGCTCCAAGGCGGGACTTCCGCTCCGCTGCCCGTCCGGACCGGCGCCGGTCCAGCCAGCGCGTATTGATCAGCGTTCCCACCCAGCACAGCATGCTGCCGTCCCGCCATCCGCTCGGAACCAGCGACCCGCTTCAGATCGGACCGACCCAGAGCAGCTGGTCGGGATGAAGATAATCTGATAATCCCAGCAGCAGATGGTCCAAAAGCTGGGCGGGTCAGAACCGGATCAGAACCGGCAGTAGAACCGGATCAGAACCAGCAGTAGAACCGGATCAGAACCGGATCAGAACCAGCAGTAGAACCGGATCAGAACCAGCAGTAGAACCGGATCAGAACCAGCAGCAGAACCTGCAGCAGAACCGGATCAGAACCTGCAGTAGAACCGGATCAGAACCAGCAGTAGAACCGGATCAGAACCTGCAGTAGAACCGGATCAGAACCAGCAGTAGAACCGGGTCAGAACCAGCAGTAGAACCGGATCAGAACCAGCAGTAGAACCGGATCAGAACCGGATCAGAACCAGCAGTAGAACCGGATCAGAACCAGCAGTAGAACCGGATCAGAACCTGCAGCAGTGATTCGGGGCCACAGATACAAACCCACACTGTAACAAATTGCTGTAAAAAAACGTCCAAACTGAACAGTATCAAACTGTTTCTATTGGAAACGGTACTGTACCGTGAAAACAATGCATTCTGGGAAATTATGACTGTTTTTAGTAAAATACTGTAGTATACAGTACAGTAAACGTTGCAGGCCCTCCAGGACGGCAGTTTGACACCCTGCTCTAGAACTTTCTTTAAGGACTGTCCATTTGAATCCTGCATTTTAGGAGCCAATCCTAAGGTAAGTTATTTTTGATGATTCATATTTACAAATATTGAAGTGAAATTGGTGAATGGATATCAACTGGGAATTTGGAGTTTCACAGAGTTGACTTGGCAGAAAACTGTTTAAATGTTATGCTGGTGTCTCTTTATTAACTCTTAACATTCAGTAGTTTGTCTTCACCTAGCACACATTAAACCCTGACTCCTTAAGCATCATATGCTAATCTGAAATTACTGCATTTTCAGGCTTTCTTGATCTCAACCCTGAGGGACCAAGTCCAGCTGTAGCAAGATCATCTCCAAGAGGACAGGGAAAACTTTTCAAAAGAAGTCGGTCACTGTCATCCCCTGTGTTTCAACTCTGCTGAAAAACCTCATGGACTTTGAGTGGAATTTCATAGTGAGAACTTTCTAACCAAGCTATAGATATTGTTGTCCCTCCACACAAAAACAAGCAAACAAAAAACTCTACAGGCATGAAGGCAACTTATCCCTGAACAGGAGTGTTCTTGAGAGACTTATTTGGTTTAAAGGTCAGCATAATCTTAAGACATCTCTTTTAATTAAGAGCATACATTTTGTTAAGGCTCCCACTTTCTGTTCTTCAGATGTAATTTTTACTGTACAGGCACCATGTTTAACTTATCTTGTCTAATATTGTTTCATTGTTTTATCATCTGAAGTTGGAGCTCTGATTTTGCCCTAAAGGAAATTCAAGTCTAAATGTTTCATTTAAATTTTTATCAAACTAAAATGTGCAATTTTTTTCTATGCTTTAGATTGAAAGTTAAATGTTTTATGTTGCATCATATTGTTCCTCACTTCCACAAAAAGTCATTTTGTATTGAAAAAGTATTGTGCTGAATTGTACAATGCATTATTTCCATAATTTATTTCATACTTATTTTATTTCAGACTAATCAAAAGGCCACAATTCATGCTTTATTCAAATACTCTTTACATTTATTTATTTATTTCACAAAATAGATGGTGATTTTCTTACTGTTTTTCCAGAATATGACTTACTTTGGACAGTTTACCCTCAACATTCTTGTAGAAAAGGTTTAGGTTTAAGGCACACATACGTTGTCGTTTCAAAACCTTCGTCTTTATTATGTGGCCCACTAAACACCGTGTGAGTCGATGTTTGAGTTGGTTCTTTTTTTTCCAAATAAATGTTTGACATGATGGAACTTACATTTTCTAAGTGTTTTCTTTTCATGTTTCTATTTTATATTGGAAATTTACAGTAGTAAGCTGTATGTGAATATAACAGTGATGGTACCATAGAAAAACTGTGATATACTGCAACACAGCTGCCAGGAGTCTACTGTGAGTCTGATAAAAACAGCAATAATCAAAAGATTTCTTTGGTGACGGTAATATACTGTAAAGTTAATTACAGTTACTGTATATTAACGGTATAATGCTGGTAACCCTGCTGCCAGCATTATACTGTAAAAATACTGAATTTGTTCCAGTTCAGCCTTTGATTTTCTGGGCAAATCGTGAAAACCTGAAATATTTTCCACAAATGAAAACGATCCGATCTGTTTGGGTCAAATTACATTATTGGAAACTTTTTAAATGATGATTTAAGTTATTTAGTTTCAGGTTTAATATCTTTTTCAGTGAAAAACATTATTTCAGGTTTTTGTTGCTGAATTGTTTTTAATGACTAAAAATATTCCAGTTATTTTTATGCAATTTCAAAAATCATTCATTACTTTTCTCTCGCTGAACAGAACCAGAAGCTGCTGGGTCAAAGGTCGACAGGTCAGGCTGGAAGCATCGGTCTCCTCTGGAAAGATCAATACCAGCTGATCAATACTGATCAGCTGCTCTGCCTGACTTCCACCCTAAAGCCAAGAAAGCTACCAAAATATCTTGCTGAGGCCCCGCCCCCACCTGCTGCTAGCTGCCCGCTCTGAGGCCCCGCCCCCACCTGCTGCTAGCTGCCCGCTCTGAGGCCCCGCCCCCACCTGCTGCTAGCTGCCCGCTCTGAGGCCCCGCCCCCACCTGCTGCTAGCTGCCCGCTCTGAGGCCCCGCCCCCACCTGCTGCTAGCTGCCCGCTCTGAGGCCCCGCCCCCACCTGCTGCTAGCTGCCCGCTCAGCAGCAGAAAGACGGGAGAGAAACGCTGCGACCGTCAGACTGCAGAAACTGGAGCAGCTGCATCAGGTTACAGAGCCGCATGTCTGCTGCTGCAGCCGCTCCTCCATCCATCCATCCATCCATCCATCCATCCATCCATCCATCCATCCATCCATCCATCCATCCATCCATCCATCCATCCATCCATCCCTTACCTCCCAGCAGTCTCATCCCTTCATCTTCCTCAGAGCTGCAGCTTTATGGCGACAAACGGCAGCAGGCTCCCTCTCTCTCTCATACACACACACACACACACACACACACACACACACACACACACACACACACACACACACACACACACACACACACACACACTCTCTCTCTCTCTGCTTCCTCCCTCCGTCTCCCTAGCAACAGCAGAGCAGCATCCTCCTCCACTCATTGATTCATATTTAAGCGCAGCGGCCCCTCCCCCACCTGCTGCTAGCTGCCCGCTCTGAGGCCCCTCCCCCACCTGCTGCACTGCTGATTGGCTGACCTGGCTTCGTGACGTCACTGAGGAAAACGTGAAGCCGCTTCAGCTTCGTCTAGTTTCTGTTATTGACTTTATTTCTGTTTAGACCAGCAGCTGATTATGAGATTATTTTCCAGAAAACCTTCAGTCACATTTTCAGCTTTATGCTACAAATCTTCATCCTCATCCTCAGCTGAGACATAATGCTTATGCTAACTAAATATTAGCCTAGCTAGCTAGCTAAATGATCACACTGCAGATGCTCTTCATCATGATGATGATGATGAAACAACCTTGGCCAGGGGTAAGCTGACAGGAAGTGACATCACTGAGACTCTCTGGTTTCTCCTGACTGTTACTTTTGTGGTTGGTTTCCATGGAAACAGCCAGGAAGTGACCCGTCTTAATGGTTCTGTTCCCATTGTGGAAACATTAGCATTAACTGGCATAGCATCAGTTAGCATTAGCTGATGCTATGTTCTATCAGAATTTCAGGACATTTTGATGCGTTTGAGCCTTTAAAGCTGCTGCCGTCATTTTAAACATTTTGACTTTAATAAAAGTCTAAATGTTAGCGTTAGCTTCTGCTAATGTTGAGGCGAATGGAGCTTTGTGAAGCTAACTTCCTGGCTAGCTGTGCTGACAACTGATGATTTCAATTCAAACATTTATTCTCCAACCAGAACCAGAATCAGAACCAGAACCTTAAACTGCTCCGGTTTATTTCCCAGCCCGGTTCTGCTCCCTCACCTGGACCTGGGTCCTCCCTCGGCTCACCGACCCGACTCCGTCCTCCAGAACCTCCAGAACCTCCTCTGTCCCTGCAGCCTCAGAGGTTCTGTCCGGCCCGGTACCGACCCGCTTCCTGAGGAGGCTGTGGACCGTGAGGACGGCCAGGGTGCACAGGACGTACATGTCCCCCGGCCCGGTTCCGTCTGGTCTGGATCAGAAGCAGGCGGTTCTGTTGGATCCAGCTGCTGCATCCACCGGACCCAACCCGGTACCGAGCTCCAGCTCACCTGCGCCTTCTGTTTGACCTTTGACCTGACTGGACTTGCCCCGACTGACGCAGCAGTTCTGCAGAACTGATAAGACAATCGGACCTTGCCCATGCTGCAGGTAACCAGAACCAGAACCAATAGTTTCAGGTGGCAGAAACTCCACACCTCTGCCATTCAGAACGGTTCTGATCCAAATGGATCCAGCAGTTCAGAACCAGTTCGATATTCCTCAGAGACAGAACCAGTTCTGTAGACTGAGGTTCTGGAGGTTCTGCAGCTGGACCTCAGTTCTGTTCTGGCACTGAGTGGTTCTGCTGAGCGGAACCAGAACCTCTGACCGGCGCCTCTCACGTAATGCTCCGATGCATCACTGGAACGGTCAGATTGGGTCAGAACCGATCAGGCTGCTCAGTCCAGTCTCCACAGACCATCAGAACAATTTTCAGCTGGTTCTGATCCACTTCCAAACCAGAACTCGGTTACACATTAACCCGCTCAGAATTCAATCTCTGGTTATAAAACCAGAACCACTCCTCTGACCCGGTTACACATCAGAACCTGATCCAGACTGAAGCAGAACCCGGTTCTGGTTCTGTAAAACCATAAAAAATAAAGTCGGGTCCAGAACCGGTTCTGAAGGAACTCATTAAATTATGGATCAATAACTGAAATGATCTGATCTGGCTCTGTGGTTCTGTTCAGAACCCGGTTCTGGT